AATCTGTCAAACACCCTATTTGTAGATCAATATTTTCCCAACCTAATTAAATAGAAATTCGAGTCTAGGATGCAAGTTTAGAGAATCGAGGATATTTCAATAGAACAGCAAAGTGGAACTTAGATAGGTTATTTATGATTACATTGAATGTGGGAGCAGGCACAAGGGGCAAATGACCTATTTCTGCCCCCATCTCCCAATACGTTTTGTGGAACAGGAGCAGGCCATTCATCCCCTCTTTCACTGCCTATCCGATATAGTCATGCACAAAGCAATCTGAGGCTCATAAACCCTAATCGTCCAGCCTTGCAGCCCCAACAACTCCATCTTAAATCAGGTTGACATAGGAATATAGGAACAGACACTTCAGACCACCGAGCCAACTGCATCATTTAATGTGGTCATTGCTGACTGAATACTCCCATTCTTTTTATGAAATCTACCTTAATCTCTACCTTAAACATACTCAAAGACTTAATAGGTGTTCAACAGATCGAATTTGCTACCACAGAAGACTGTGGAAGCTGGGTCACTGAGTATATTCAGGAAAGTATATTTTTAGATATTAAAAGCATCAGAGTGTGTGGAGAGAATATGGGAAAATGGCTTTAAGATACATCAGCCATAATCATATTGAATGGCAGTGTGGGGCTGAATGGCCTACTCCTGCTCCTGGTTTCTATGGTTAAGGTGTTTTATATAAATACAAGTTTATTTTGCTGTTCTGATGTTTTGCAGCATTTTCTCATCCTACTGTCTCTCTGAATGTGACTACATCCTGGGAGGTTGAAATGAGTGAATTTTCCCTGCGGTGCGTGGGATCTTGGGGAAATTCATATATTCGCATGATCAGACATGATGTTAGAAATGCTAATTTAATTGACACATTTTTGCAATTAATCACTGGATTGGTTTTGCAGTGAATATGAACATTGTGTGCAAAAACAGAAGTTGCTGGAAAGGCTCAGCAGGTCTGGCAGCACCTGTGGAGAAAAAAAAATTACAGTGTTAATGTTTCGGGTCCGGTGACCCTTCCTCAGAACAGACCCGAAACATTAACTCTGATTTTTTTCTTCTCAGATGCTGCTAGACCTGCTGAGCTTTTCCAGCAACTTCTGTTTTTGTTCCTGATTTACAGCAGCCGCAGTTCTTTCGTTTTTTGTGAACATCGTGTGGTTTTGTGACTCGCCTGCTAAAGCTCGAGAAGTGCATTGACTTTCTATTTTAACTAGACTGGTTATTTCCGGCAAACCTGTGTGTTACGAAAGCTTTATTCTCTGTGCTTTTGATGTGAGCTGAGGCCTTTCTGTTTTCAATTGTATCCATTAGTTTGTTGAAATTTGCATTTATATAGCGCATTTAGAGTGGTAAGATGACACACAAGATGTTTCACAGGAGTGATTATCAAACAATATTAAACGCTGACTCCCTGAGGGAGATATTAGAACAGGAGCCAAAACCTGGTCAAAGAGGTTTTTAAGGACTGCCTAAGAGAGGTAGAGAGGCAGACAAATGTAGGGAAGGAATTCCAGAGGTTAAGAGATAGTAGGAACTGCAGATGCTGGAGAAAATTTTCTGAAGAAGGGTCTAGGCCCAAAACGTCAGCCTTCCTGCTCCTCTGATGCTGCTTGGCCTGCTGTGTTATTCCAGAGATTAAGCCTTGACCACTAATATTCAGGTGCAGAGATTTAAAGGGTTAAATTAAGAGATTACGTTGTTTAAATATGGTTTGCATTCTCTTGAGTTTTAAAGGTTGTGAGTGATTTGGTCAAAGAGAGAGGTAAAGGGATGCAATAGGATGGACCAAGGGAAACTGTTTCCTCTGGTGTGGGAGCCCAGAACAAGTGACTAGACGTTAGTGCTGGTTCTTCAGTGAAATAGTCTCCATTCTCTCTAAGACTAGCTTGTCAGCTCCAGAGGAGTGAAAATCCAGAAACTTCCAACCCAGAAACTTTTGGGTTCTGAGGAAGGGTCACCGGACCTGGAACATTAACTCTGTGATTTTTTTTCTCCACAGATGCTGCCAGACCTGCTGAGCTTTTCCAGCAACTTCTGTTTTTGTGCACAATGTTCATATTCACTGCAAAGCCAATCTAGTTATGAACGGCACTGTTCCCTGAAACATCTCAAGCATTGAAATTAGTTGGAACTTAAATGGGAATTGGCATGAGGTAGAAAAAGATGTGGCAACATTTTAAACAATATTTTAATTCATTCATGCGACATGAATGTCTCTGGCTGGGACATCATTTATTGCCCATCCCTAGTCGCCCTTGAGAAGGTGGTGGTGAGCTGTGTTCTTGGGCCGCGACAATCCATGTGCTGTACATAGACCTACAATGCCCCTACAGAGGGAATTCCAGGATTTTGACTCAGTACTACTGAAGGAATAGAGGTATATTTCCAAGTCAGGGAGGCGCTTGGCTTGATGTGGAAATTGCAGGTTTGTAGTCTTCCCATGTATCTGCTGCCCTTGTCTTTCTAGGTGATCATATGTTTAGAAGTTGCTGGGTAAAGAACTACAGTGAATTTCTGCAGTGCATCACATAAATAGGTCACACTGCTGCTACTGATTGTCAGTCGTGGACGAAATGGATGCTTGTGGATGTGGCACCAGTCAAGTGGGCTGCTTTGTCCTGGATGGTGCCAAGTTTGTTGAGTTTTATTAGAGCCACACTCATCCGGGCAAATGGGGAGTATTCCATCACACTCCTGAATTGTGCCTTGTGGATGGTGGACAGGCTTTGGGGAGTCAGGAGGTGAGTTACTTGCAGTAGTATTCCTAACCTCTGACCTGCTGCTATAGCCACAGTTTTCATATGGCAAGTCCAGTTCAGTTTCTGGTCAATGTTAACCTCCAGGATGTTGACAGTTGAGAATTCAGCAATGGTAATGCCATTAAATATCAAGATGTGATGGTTAAATCTTCTCTTATTGGAGATGGTCATTTGTGCGGTATGTATTTAACCTCGATATTGTCTAGGTCTTGCTGCAAACACCAAAATTGTTGTTATAGTGGACAGTAAAGAAGGTTACCTGAACTTACGAAGAGATCTTGATCAATTGAGTCAATGAGTTGAGGAGTGGCAATGGAGTTTAATTTGGATTCATAAGAGATTTTGCGTTTTGCTAAAACAAACAAGGGCAGGACTTATACAATTAATGGTAGGGCCTGAGTAGTGTTGTAGAACAGAGACCTAGGGGTTCAGGTACCTAATTTTTTGAAATTTGCATCACAGGTAGACAGGGTGGTTACGAAGACATTTAGCACACTCGCCTTCATTGCTCAAACCTTTCAGTATAGGAGTTGGGACGTCATGTTGAGGTCGTACAGGATGTTGGTGAGGCCTCTCCTGGAGTACTGTGTGCGGTTCTGGTTGCCCTGCTATAGGAAGGATATTATTAAATTGGAGAGGGTTCAGAAAAGATTTACCAGGATGTTGCTGGGAACAGAGGGTTTGAGGTATAAGGAGAGACTGGATAGCCTGAGGAACTCCTGCAGAGATATCCTGAGATAACTGACCTCCAACAGCTGCAACCATCTTCCTTCGTGCTAGGTAATTTCCCTAGTGCCAGTCCAACCAGTGGAGAGTTTGCCATCTGATTCCTATCGATTCCAGTTTTGCTAGGACTCCTCGATGTCAAGGGCTGTCACTCTCACCTCACCTCTGGAATTCAGCTCTTTTATCCATGGTTAAATTGAGGCTGTACTGAGGCCAGGAGCCCTGGTGGAACCCAAACTGGGCGTCACTGAGCAGGTTATTGCTGAGCAGGTGCTGCTTGATAGCACTGTTAGTGACACCTTCCATCACTTTACTGATGGTCGAGAATAGACTAATGAGGCAGCAATTGGGTGGGTTGGATTTGACTGTTTTTTGTGTACAGGACATACCTGGGCAACTTTCCATATTCTCAGGTAGATGTCAATATTGTAGCTGTGCGGTAACAATTTGGCTCAAGGCACAGCACTTTTGGAGCACAAGTCTTCAGTAGTATTCAGTACTATTCCTGGAATGTCGTCAGGCCAATAGCTTTTGCAATATCCAGTGCCCCTAGCATTTCCACAGGCTCAGCACTCTGGGCAAAGAAATTTCTCCTCATCTCAGTTCTTATCCTTAAACTATGACACCTCGTTCTTGACTCCCAGTCATTGGGAACATCCTTCCTGTGTTTACCCTGTCTAGTCCTGTCAAAATTTGATAGGTTTCTATGAAATCCCCCTCATTCTTCTAAACTCCAGTGGATATAATTCTAAACAACTTAATCTCTCCTAATACATCTGTTCTGTCATCCCAGGAATCAGTTTGGTAAGCCTTTTGCATTGCCTCTATAGCAACATTCTTCCTCAGATAAAAATTACATTTGGAGTTTCCAATCCACTGGGACCTTTGAAGAATCGAAGGAATGGAAGGTTACAACCAATGTAGCTACTTCTTTCAAGACCCTATGGTGCAGGTCATCAGCTCCAAGGGACTTGTCAGTGTTTAGTCCAAATAGTTTTCCCAGGACCAAGTCCTTAAAGATTATGATTCATTTAAGTTCCTCTCCAACTTTTCGGTCTTGATTTTCAAATGTATTTGGGACGATTTTTGTGTCTGCTACAGTGAAGACAAAGAACACTGTTCAATGCTTCTGCCATTTCCTTATTTCCCATTAACTCTCCAGTCTCTTCCTCTAGACAACAATAGTTCAGTTTACCAACTCTTTGGTTTTCTTATATCCTTATAGAAACTCTTCCTGTGTGTTTTTATATTTCTAGCTAGCTTTCTCTCACACTTTAACTTATCCGTTCTTTCTTTGCTGGTTTCTAGAAATTGTCCATAGTTCTGGCCCTTGGAGTATTGCACCTATTTTCTAACCATTTGCTACTATCCTTCGCTTAATTAACCAGGGATGGTGCATCATTTTCACTGAGTCTGTCATTTTTTTTAAACTGTTCAGATGGTGGTTTGACCAGAAGTGTTCAATTGTTGACAATTTGTTGTTTTCCTTTATTGTAGGAACAGTATGAGCTGGTCTACAGTGCAATCAGTGCTCTGTTTGAGAAGCAGCTAGAATTCCTAAACACCAACGCAACTTTCCAGGAAGATGAGGTGAGTTTTTGTCTTTGTTCTGTGCTTTGTTGTTGAATAGTCTCAGCTCTCTTCAGCTGCCCCCACTTTTAAATCATCACCTGGCTTTTATCCGGTCTCAGAACCATTCATGACTTGAAAAAGTCTGCTAGATTCCCCCTGACACTCCACCTCCTCTAAACACACACACAGAGACTCATTCACTCGTTCACACATGCGCGTACACACACATACATACACAGACACAAGCACACACTCTCCCTGTCTCTCATACACACACACGCACAGAGACACAGACACACACACACGCACACACACACAGACACTCACATCCATATACACACACACACACACACACACACAAAAACACACACACACAGAAAGTTACACACAGACACACACACAGACACACACACCTTTCACTGTTAAAATGAAAAGAATCCCACATCTAATGCAGTCCTCACCAGATATCACCCCTATGTTTTAAACAAGTTATAGATTATATTGATCAAAAGCCAGTGTACATTATCCATATTGTATTAGTTTCAATTTCAAAGTGGCTGGTAACTGGCTCTAAGGGCTCCATTAATTTTAAACCAAAATAGATGTTACTCACCAGCTCACATTGTGTTAACAGTGCGCTCAATGCGGAACAGAGATAATTGAATAACACAACAATAACATGCATTTATATACTGCCTTTATCATGCCCCCCATCCCCCACAAATCAAATCATAGGAGTGATTACCAGCAAAATTATATACTGAGCCATATAAGGAGCTGTGAGAACAGGTGAACACAAGTTTGGTCATGAGATAAGTTTTACAGAGCATCTTAAAGGAAGGGAGAAAGAAGGAGAGGTCTAGGGAGGGAATTCCAGAATTTATTGTCATAGTGGGCAGCTGAAGACATGGCTGTCAATGGGGGAGCAATTGAAAGCTGAGATGTGCCAGAGATCAGAATTAGACGGGAGTAGTTATCTCTGACAGTTGTGGAGCTGAAGGAGATGACAGTGATAGGGAGAGGTGAGGTCAGAGAGGGATTATAGAATGAGGATGCAGATCTTCCCAGACTGGGAGCCAATGTAGATCAGCAAGTATAGAAGGTGATGGTAAATGAAACTCTGTGTGGATTAGGACAGGGGCAATAGAGTTAAGATGAGCTCAGGTTTATGCAGCAAAATTGGGACCAACCATGGATACATTAAAGTAATCCCTCTTTAATGTTCAATAATGTTTTGTGTATGTGAACTCTTATAATCCCCTCCCAATGGTGTGTGTGGGGCTATGGTTTGTATGGAGCACTGACTCTACTTTAAATGAAGTTGCTGGTCTGAATTAAATTAGAAACAAGAGCACAAAAATGCTGCTTACAGAGAGGGAACATTCTTGTTATGTCATGGCCTGATGTAATTATACTGAACAAGTGGATAAATTGCATCTGCATGAAAATGCTCACTGGAAGGAGTGAAAACTGTATCTCTCATTCCAGTTTCTACGTATGCCCCTAGCTACCCACAACTCTACAGGGGTCCATTAGCTGGTTTGTAATGCAGAGTGATGCGAACAGTGTGGGTGAGGTTACCATGAAGTACTCACCTTCTCAATCTCTCCCCTTGCCTGAGATTATACAATCACAAGTTCACGCTCTCTCACTCTTTCTAAAATGACAGTGTGACCCTATGGCCTGGTAAGACTGTGGCTACTTTACCCATGAATCTAGAACATTTTTTTTGAGATGCTCTGCCCAGAACTTTATCCAATGCCTCAAATGAAGCAAACATTAGATACAAGTTCGCTTACTCAGTGATTTTGAAATTCTTTGTCCCATGTATTTTTGGACAGAATACTTAATTCACCAGGATCCTCCCTGGGTGTTTGTATTTTTCAGATCCCGTTCTCTGTAGATTACTCTGAGAGAAAATGTTTTCTGAATTTTAACACTCCACAATACTTTGACACAGCAACTAATCTCATGTTTCAGGATCTGATGCAGTTTTCTGTCATGTTTCCCCTTCAGCCAGTTTAATCTCTGTATAATTTCCTGTATAATCTACTCAATCTTTCCACATTGATGAAATTCCAGGCTAACTGGTCTGGCAGCATCAGTGAAAAGGGACAGAGTTAACTTTTGGCTAGATTTTTGCTGAACCAGTATGATTTGGGAGCCCTTTAGAAATGGAGTACAGGACTCAATTTCAGGATTCCTGATGCTTCTAATTTTTGAGAGTACTTCTTAAGGGTGCAGGTGAATTGAGATTGTGAGTCTGCACCTGGCCTTTCCAACCAGACCAGCTCCATTCAGCATGGCCTTGTCTCCCATTTCATCATGGAGTCGGACCATGTTTTCAAAAGGTTGTGTTCTTTAGCTCTTCAGGGATGTTGTGAATCATGGTCTGCATGAGGGACCCCTTTGAAAGGTAAGTTTAAAGGTATTCCTCAAGTCCCCCTACCCCATGTCAAAGTATGACCTCCCCAAAAATCACCCAGTGTCCTTCTTTCCCCTATGCAAAGAATTACCTCCTCAAATAATCCTCAAGACCAATCATGAACCCCTGCCAAAATATGATTCTTTTTTTACTATCCATGAACTCGCACATACTGTATGGAAATAATGAACTCACTGGCTTTGCAAAAAAAGACAAGTAATTAATTCTTAATTTTTCACTACATTAAAAAAAACCTCCCTTCTATTAAAGGGCAATAAAACTGTCATTCACACAGACTCTTTTAAAGTTTCAAACCTGAAACAGCAAAGCACTTATAACCACTTCATCCTCTGAAAACAAACAATGTGAAATTGGTAGAGATCCCTTGTCCAGAGCTGTCAATCAAGTAGGGGCATTGGTGTTTCAGCAACCTAATGGTTGTCTGGCCTTTCAGCCAAGAAACATAATGAGGCTTTTGAAAATCTAGCTTATTGACCACATTTAACCAAAAATAAATTTGAAATGCCTCATTAATACTTGTATAAAGAAATATATCAATTTGCTGAAACAGTGCCTTGATGTATCAAACCTTTTTGTGTTTTGCAAGGAAAATACTTTTAGAATTATTGCCAAACTGTGGGATGTGGCACGAATCAGGCAGACCATTTAACTAGCCAGTACTGTCACAATGGGCCAAGAAAACATCATGACATTTTTCACGTTGATTTTATGTCTAATCCTCTTCCTGTTGTTAGAGTGGGGAGATGATGGCCTAGTGGTATCGTCGCTAGACTATTAATCTAGCAACTCAGCTGAGACGTTCTGAGAACCAGGGTTCAAATCCTGCCAGGGCAGATAGTGGAATTTGAATTCAATAAAAATAATTTGGAATTAAGAATCTACTGATGACTGTGAAACCATTGCCAATTGTCAAAAAAGAAAACCCATCTGGTTCCCTAAAGTCCTTTAGGGAAGGTGGTCTGGCCTACATGAGACTTCAGACCCACAGCAATGTGGTTGACTCTTAACTGCTCTTTGGGCAATTAGAGACAGGCAATAAATGCTGCCCTCATCTAATGAATGAGGAAAAAGAAAAGTGGTTAGTTCCTGTTCTCATTTGCTTTTCTCCAGTTTGAATTTGTCTCATTATTTAGGAACTCAGTTAATCATGTCGTGTTCATAGCTTTCTCAGAACCAGAGTAACTTACAATGCATCATGCCTATGCCAGCTCTATTGAGTCCAGTTAGTCTCACTTCCTAGACTTTTAACCCATAGCTCTGCAATTTTCTCAGGCAGTGCTAGCCAGATCACAACAGCATGCTATGGAACTATGCTGTTCTCATTGCCATTTCTCGTTCATTTACCAATTATTTTCAACCTGTATGTTTTGATAACCTCTCCTCCAACTGACAGAAAATGCACTATCAACACCTCCACCAAATATTTAATTAACGTTATTGCTTCAAGTCCACAATCATATTAGTTTGTTGCCATGAACTCTGCCAGAAAAAAGAGATTAAAACAAACATTTGGTAGGAAATAACTTTTTCTTGTCCTTTCATGGGATGTGGGCATCACTGGCCACGTGAGTATTTGTTGTCCATCCTGAATTTCCCTTGAACTGAGTGGCTTGCTGGGCCATTTCAGACAACAGTTAAGAGTCAATTACATTAGACTCCAGCATAGGCCAGACCAAGCAAGGATAGCAGGTTCCCTTCCCCAAAGGAATTTAGTTGATTTTTGCAACAAGTAATGATAGTGATCATGGTCACTACCACCAAGATTCATGCCAGCACTGTGCCAGTTGTGCTTATATTCATAATGTCTTTTATTGTCAACTTCCTCCTTGAGAGAGCTGCTATAGAACAGTGCAGGGAGCTGTGGTTTCTGCACAGTGCAAGTCCACAGTGTTTGGGAGGCTCACCCTCACATACCGGATGTGGTAAAACAGCTGGCACACAAACAAACAGTTCCACCAGAGAAACAGCCTTGTCCTCAAAAGCAGGACTTCTGTATTTGAGTAAAAATGACATGAGGCAGCCCTCCTGTTGAAATCTGTGTGCAAAGCATTTCTGCCGCTAAGACTCCCTGTGGGGCCAGTAATGGGATCGTGAGTCTGGTGGTTGTGGTGGGACAGGGACGGGAAACCAATATGGTCAAATTGAGCTCCACCTCTTGGATGTAGAGAATGGTTGGGTTAGGAAGTCTCCAGGATTGACTACAGGAATTAAATTGTTCAGAGTAAAACCAAAACAAAACGTTAAATTACATTCAAAATAATAATTAAACAGTCTGTAAGATTCTCTTCCAAGTGTCTTAGCATTTTCCAAAGGTGCATTATTTTCAACTGCGGAGTCAGATTCCCATCTTTTGACAAAAGTTTAGATTTCTGATTTGTTTAAACATTAGTCAGTTGTTTGCAGCACTCAGGGGGAAAAGTGCAGAAGGTCATTACAAAAAAGTGAATGCTGGACACAAGAGAAACAGAAAACAGAAATCATCCACAGTCTGTTTGCCCCTCAGTCGTTGAGGAAAGTGGGGCAGCATGGAACTAGCCAATAATAAGAGTGCGGGGAAAGGGCGATGGCAACTGGTCACATGATGAAACTGCCAGGAATGCGTCGAAAACCTTGAATCAATGTTGGAGACTCTAGAGCAGAGTGTACGCAGCGTTATTATCCCATTGTACCCTGAAGCCACAATCCTACATATGTCTACACCCCGAAATGCCTACACTCTACTCAGAGGCACGTATACCCCAAACTCTATACTATACCATAAAACTCCCTCACCACTGCGCCCCAAAACCCTTATATCCCTGTACCCCAAACCTCCTGCATTCTAAAACCTCTGCACCCTGAATGCTGTATTCTCCAAAACCCTTGCACCAGTTTACACCAGTGATTGAATGTCCTGGAGCCTCATGTTCCAGACACTGTTCCTTTGCACCAACTTGGTTTTTTTGGCTATTTGTGTCCTGCTGTTCATTCCTTTACTACACTTTCAGCCCTAGTAAGGAGCACATGGTTCACTAAGCCTGCTTCTGCTCCAATGTGCACTGAGACTCATCGTGTTAGAAAGTGTCTGGGACTCCAGGTGAGCAATGGCAAGGATCGGGCCTGGAATGAAGCTCACACTTGCTGCCGCGTGGGTTCACTTTTCACAATCACAAAGGGAGTCCCCGATTTCGGAACCATCGCTCTTCCTGTGATTGATAAATTGATTAATTTATTGTCACATGTACCGAAATACAGTGAAAAGTTTAGTTTATAAGTGGTACAGGCAGATCACAGCAAGCAAAGGATGTACAGATCAAAAAGACTTAGAGACATACAGGTTACATTTGAGGCTAGGGTCCATTCAACAGTCTGATAACGGCCGGAAAGAAGCTGTTCCTGAACCTGCTGGTGTGTGTGTTCAAGTTTCTGTACCTTCTGCCTGACGGAAGAGGCTGTAGGAGATCATTACCGGGGTGCGATGGGTCTTTGATGATGTTGGCCGCCTTTCGACGGCAGCGAGCCGTGTAAGTGGAGCCCTTGGATGGGAGGCTGGCTTCTGTGATGCTCTGGGCTGTGCACACCACCTTCTGTAGTTTCTCACGGTCCTGGGCAGAGCAGTTGCCATACCAGGCCATTATGCACCCGGACAGTTTGCTCTCAATGGTACATCTGTAGAAGTTGGTGAGGGGCCTTATGGACATGTCAAATTTCCTGAACTGCCTGAGGAAGAAGAGGCATTGTTGTACCTTCTTGACTGTCACATTTACGTGGGAAGTCCAGGACAGTTTGTCGGTTATTGTCACTCCGAGGAACTTGATGCTCTTCATCCCCTCAACCTCAGTTCCATTGATGTAGATGGGGGCGTGTTCTCCTCCTTTCTCTCCGAAGTCAATGATCAGTTCTTTAGTTTTGCCGACATTGAGAGACAGATTGTTTTCATTGCACCACATCACCAAACCCTCTATCTTCCTTCTGTATTTTGACTCGTCCCACTACGGTGGTGTCATCAGTGAACTTGTAGATGGCATTCGTTCGGAATTTGGCAACACATTTGTAGGTGTACAGGGAGCACAGTGAAACAGACTAAGCTTGCTTCCTATTGATCTCCAGCTTGAATCCATTTAACTCACTTTCTCCCCCTCTTCCTTTCTTCTGTCTCCTTATTCGTCTTTCTTTCTCTCTCCATGCCTTTTACTGCTTCTTTCTCTTCCCTCGTCACTTTGGTTCCGTTTTTTCTGCATCATTCTGCTTTCAGCTTCTTTTTTTCCTCTTGCTTACTTTCTCTGTTGTCTTTTTCTCCTTCACTTTTCCTCCCTGTCTCTATCTTTTCCCTGATTCATTTTTGCTTCCTTCACACACTCTGTTTCTTTCCTTCATTACCTGTTTCCTATCTCGGAAAACTCTCTCTTGGTGCATTATCCGAGATAGACCAGGTAATGGACCCTTCAAGAAAGTAAATTACAGATGGGCACTAAATGCTGGCCTTGTCAGTGTTGACCACATCCCAGGAAAAAAATAAAGTTGTTAACTTTTTGGTGAATCTCAGCAGGTCTGGCAGTGTCTGAGGAGAGAGAAACAGAATTAATGCTTCAAGTCTAATGTGACTTTTCTTTGGAACCTGGAAAAGAGTCTTGTGGGGGCCCTCTGGTGGTGTCCCTTCCCTGGACTGGGAGGCCTGGATTCAGGTCCCACCTGCTCCAGAGTTTGTGTAATAACCAGAGGGTGTGGCACTGTGGCTCAGTGGTTAGCACTGCCACCTCACAGCACCAGGGACCCAGGTTCAATTCCAGTCTTGGGTGACTATTTGTGTGGAGTTTGCATATTCTCCTTGTGTCTGTGTGACTTGTCTCCAGTTTCCTTCCACAGTCCAAAGATGTGTAGGTTAGGTTGGTTAGCCATGCTAAATTGTCCAGGGATGTGCATGCTGGGGAGATGAGGAGTGGGAAATGCAGGGCTACAGTGATAGGGTGGGGCAAGGGGGTGGATCCAGGTGGGATGCTCTTCAGAGGGTCAGTGTGGACTCAATGGGCCAAATGGCCTGCTTCCACACAGTATATATTCTATGATAACATCTCTGAACAGGTTGATTAGAAAAACTAGGATAAGTTTTTTTTTAAATTACTTCTGAAGAAGATTCATTGAACTTGTAACGTTAACTCGGATTTTCTTTCTCCACAGATGCTGCTAAATTTGTTGAGGTTTAAGACATTTTTGCTTTTTTTTTCAGATGGTTTGTTTTAGTGAGTAATAAAACGTGTTTGATGCTGGAGTTATTGGTATTTAAAAATTTGAAAATTTGAAGTAGTGTTACGAAGTTGGGAATTCTGTGGACCAATTTGCCCTGCAGGCTTTAAGCATTAAAATACCATAGGGAAGAAGTCAGAATAAATGGGCTTGTGAGACATTAGAACTGAAAGCAATTACTTTCAAGGCAAAGTGGTGACACAGTGGTAATGTCACTGATCGGGTAATCCAGAACACCAGGCTATTGTTCCGGCAGATGGTGAAATTTGAATTCAAGTAAAAAATATTTGAAAAGAAGCTAGCCTGATGGTGACCATATAACTGCTGTCAGTTGGTATAAAAATCCATCTGGTTCATTGCCTCTTTTTGGGAGGGTAATCTGTCATCCATTCTTTGTCTGACCTGTACAGGATGCGAGACCCACAGAGACGTGTTTGACTCATAACTGCCCTCTGAGCAATTAGGAATGGGCAATAAATGCTGATTGGGCCAGCGATACCCACATCCCATGAATAAATACCAAAACAAAAACAGAGATTGCTGGAAAAGCTCAGCAGGTCTGGCAGCATCTGTGAAGGAAAAAACAGAGTTAACGTTTCGGGTCCAGTGACCCTTCCTCAGAACTCATTTAATAAATAACAAAAAATGTGCAAAGGGTCGATTCTTTCAGCAAACCCAAAATATCTGCTCAAGGTGCTGAAGATTCCAAGATCCAGTAGCTGTTTATGGCACCAGTTTAGCTTCAGTCATGTAAAGATTCTGTATAGGTTTGACCTGCCTTCTCTTTAAATGAATCAAGTTTGAGTGGGTTGGTTTTAGAGCAGCATGTTACTGAGTTTGGGAGCACTGAGGTGCTGAGTGTGTGGTTTCATTCAGGAAGTCACTTAGAGTCTAAAACTGGAAATGACATTATTTACAGGAAGATACTGACCAGATGCAACTCGATTTAGACAACTGGTGGTACGTACAGGTCACACTATGTATACTAATTACATGAGTGCAGGACAGTCTATATGTGTGTTGTGTGCATGTTTATGTATATGTTTTTAGTTTTAAATTTTTATATATTTCTCTCTCACTTGCTTGTTCTTGTGCACCAAGACCAGGGACAGAATATTAATCATTGACATTTCTGTACCTGTGCTATTGCTCTCCGTTCTTCCTTCCCACCACTTTCCATCTTCTGAAAAATGCTTTCTACTCTTTCCTAGGGAATCCAAAAAAAAATCTCCCTTATCTTTACCCTTCAATCTTGTGTCTGTTTCTATTATTCAAGTTGTTAACAGTGACAGATGGTGGGCTGCTTCAGCCTCCTGGTGAAGTTCTCTCATGTTGTGAGTGTTTTTGTACTTGTACATTTTCGTTGTAAAGTATTAAATAATCTACATTTTCACTTTTAGTGTGATCATTCTGTAATGGTTTCAGAATATCTTGGTGGTGAATTTGGCTTACAGCAGCAAAGCAAGATTGTTGCGTAAAGAGCTGGACTTTCACAGTCCCTGAAACTTCTTCAGAATTTCACAGGACAATCATGTTCAAGCTCACCTTTTCATTTTAGAAACTCAGTTTGCCACTTTAACTTTGTTTGAAATTGTTGCCAAAATTTTGCAAGTCCATGAGAAATAAGTTGGCTTGTGATTTATTCCAAGCCTTTTTCTCATGGCTGATATGCACCAATTCACCCGCTTTTGAGTTTTGGTAAATCCAATCTGGTGTTCAATGATATTGAGGACACGGTTACTGACATTTTGCTTTTACATTCATCCTCCAACAGATTATTGAGCCCTCTGTGCAATTAGAGAGACCTCAGCAGCCGTCAAAATCCATTCCTTTTTCAACAAACTCATCACGTCACAGGTAACACGCATGGAGATGATTATTATTCCTGTAAATAACCTTGATATGTCTGTACCTCCTTATCCCTATAACCTCTTCCAGTTCTACCAACCTCCAAGAATTCAGCATTCACCCAATTCTGGTTTCTTGTCTTTCGCTGGCATCCATCATCCTACCTTATGCCTTCACTTTTGGCCTTAAGCTCTGTTTCTTTCATTCATTTAATACCCATCTCTCTGACCAAGCTTTTGATCGCCAACCTTAATATCTCTTGATGTGGCTCGGTGTTAAATTTAATCTGATTATGTTCATACGAAGTAGTTTGACACATATTAATACATTAAAAACGTCAAATCATTGCAAGCTGTTGACTTGAGCAATGGAACCATGTCAGTAACTAGTTGTAAAATTTGAAGAAAAAGGAAGCACTGGAAGCCAATAAGTTACAAGTACAGAAGAAATTCAGGAACTAGTCACAGGAGTTGATTAATGACAAATTGATGGAAATCGATTGTCTTAGGTTTTCATCATGCCTGTCCATAATAAGATGGGACATCAATGTTTGTTGATGTGTCTCATGGTTTTGTTACTGCACAAAATGCTCTGTTTCCCTCCCCATTGATCAGGTGGATTTAACCCAGTCAGCTAACAATGGGGCAAGGACTCTGTGTTGTTCCTGAATAAGTTCAATATTTTCTCCATCATTGAACAAAGCTCTCAGGTTAGTTCCCCATTTGGCCACCTTGACTTATCAACAGAAGTACATAAGGCAGTCTTGCCGTTTTCCACACAGCAATTAATCAAACAGCAGCTAGTTTAGTAGAAAAAAAGACCCTAAAGTATTATCATTAAGAAGGTGATAGAATAATATCCATCCTGTAGTGATTCCTGCCAACATGTTACTCCCAACCCCACTTTTCCCACCTCAGAGTCTCAAACCGGACCTGAATATCCAGACTCTGAATCAGAATTAAATGGCTTCACTGTCTCATAGACACAAAATTCGATGAATAAAGAGGATCTCCTTAATACATTTTGTTCAATGTGGCTCCACATCTTTGAGAACATGTTTGCGATTTTGAGGGCAACAACAGAATTGGCTGAGAATCTAGCTGTGCAACAAAGATTCATGATGTGGAGAAGCCAGTATTGGACTGGGGTGGACAAAATCAGAAGTCACGCTGCACCAAGGTTTATTTGAAATCGAGCTTTCAGAGCAGAGCCCCTTCACCAGGTGAAGTCGTCACTAGACCGGTCTGGGCTGGGGCTCAGAAACTTTAAACAACTTTGTGCAGTCCATGCCCTTGGAGAATTTGATGGTTCAGTGCAGAGGGAATTTTGTTCTGTATCTAACCACATGCTATTCCTGTCCTGGGAGTGTTTGATGGAGACTGTATAGAGAGAATGTTTTCTGTATCTAACCACATGCTATCCCTATCCTGACAGTGTTGATGGGGACAGTGTAGAGGGAGCTTTACTCTGTATCTAACCCCGTGCTGTACCTGTCCTGGGAGTGTTTTGATGTGGACAGTGTAGAGGGAGCTTTACTCTGTATCTAACCCCGTGCACTACCTATCCTGGGAGTGTTTGATGGATGAGGACAGTGTGGAGAGAATTTTTTTCTGTATCTAACCCCATGCTGTCCCTGTCCTGACAGTGTTGGTGGGGACAATGTTGGGGGAACTTTACTTTTAGTTTAAAAAAGTACAGAGGGTTTTACTTTCAATTTAAAAGAGTAAAGGAAGCTTTACTCTGTTTCTAACCCTGTGCTGTCCCTGTCTAGGGAATGTTTGATGGTGACATTGTAGAGGAAACTTCACTCTGTATCTAACCCTGTATTCTTGTGAATGTTTGATAGGGCAATGTAAAGTACAGTGACTGGTTAATAACTCAGTTGAGCTGGTTTCTGATGAAACTGGCGAACGTCATTTCCTGTCTACTAATTCTGTGGTTATGTTTTATGTCTTTTTCTTTACACTGTGCCCACGTTGCAGCATGTACTCTATACCACCTCTGGCTCAGAGACACCTTCTGCTACCTGAGAATCGTGCTCTGAAAATAGTACTCAGAACAATACCAATCCCTCAACCCATTATAACAATTTCTTAAGCTACTAATTACATTTTTGAATCAGGAAATAGTGTCACCTTTGACTTGACATACGAATTCTTATCAGACAGAAATGTATTAACTGGAAGCGTTTGGCATTTTAAATGAAAACTTTTATTTGCCAATATTTTTTGAGCTTTCGGGTGAAGCTGTGTGTGGTAACAGGATCTAATTTTGAGCTGGCTAATTCAATGTGCAGAGACAGAAAAAAAAGTCACAATTGTGAATGTAATGTTGCATCTAATGGGAATATGAAGTGGGGAACCTACTGTAGAACCTTGATCAGGTCCAATCTCAAGCCATGCTCTCAGTTTTAGATACTGCACCTGAGGAAGGATAAAATGCACTGGAGGGAGGCAGTGCAGAATAAATTATAATGATATTTATTCACTTGAGTTTAGAAGATTTGGAGGTGATCTCATTCAGATGTTTAAAACGGTGATGGGTGAGTTCAGAACCAGGGCTTGTCCATTCAGGAGTGATATTGTGAAGAGCAACTTCTAACAAATGGCAGAGGAAACCTGGATCTCTGTGCTCACAAAAGAAAATGTTGCATTCTGGGGTTCAACTTGAGCTTTCTAGATTAAGATGGATCAATTTTTTGGGAGGTGAAAGGAAGTGGAGCCAAGGCGAGTCAGTGGATCTGTTTGGGGAGGCAACGGCCTAGTGATATTATCGCTGGACTGTTAATCCAGAGACCCAGAAAATGTTCTGTGGACTCTGGTTCAAATGCCGCCTTGGCAGATGGTGAAATTTGAATTCAATAAATATCTGGAATTAACAGTCTAACAATGACCGTGAATCCATTGTCAATTGTCGGAAAAACCCATCTGGTTCACTAATCCCCTTTAGGAAAGGAAATCTCCCATCCTGGGAAAACTCTGGCCTACATGTGACTCCAGACCCACAGCAATATGGTTGACTCTTAACTGCCCTCTGGGCAATTAGGGATGGGCAATAAATGCTGCCTAGCCAGTGACGCCCTCATCCTGTGAACGAATAAAGAATAAAGGATCTGACATATAGCTCAGCCATGGTGGAACAGATTCCAATGGTTTCCTGTTCCTCCAGGTTGACCAACCAATCCGTTTGAAGGCAATGTTAGTATTCCCTGCACTAGAATGGACAAATCTCCATAAATGTACTGGAGTCTCCAGGAATTAGAGTGGTGGTTGGAAGTGAGCTGGGAGAAAAATATACCAGGGTGAAGGGGGAAAATGGAGGTGGGAGGGGTGGGGCACAGGAATAATTGGATAACTCTTTCAAACTGTTGGGAAACACTTGATATCCTGTAGAATTCTAAATGAAGGATCTCTCACCTGATGCCTGCAGGTGAATCTGAGATTTCATACAGTCAGTGACACACGTGAAACATAGCAATCACCTGAGAAGGTGAAAAAGTGTGAAATCCATACTGTTTGCTATAACTATGATTTGGACGAGAATGTAGGAGGCATGGTTAGTAAGTTTGCTGGTGACACCAAAATTGGTGGTATAGTGGACATTGATGAAGACTTTCTAAGATTACAAAGGGATCTTGATCAATTGGGACAATGGGCTGAGGAATGGCAGATGGAGTTTTATTTGGATAAATGTGAGATATTGCTTTTTGGTAAAACAAACAAGGGCAGGACTTACACAAGTAAAGGTCAGGCCCTGGTTAGTGTAAAATTGAAAAAACCTAGGAGTTCAGGTACATAATGCTTTGAAATTTGAGTCACTGGTAGATACGGTGGTTAAGAAGGCATTTAGCATGCTTGCCTTAATTGCTCAGACCTTTGAGTATAGGAATTGGGACGTCATGTTGAGGTTGTACAGGATGTTGGTGATGTCTGTTCTGGAGTACTGTGTGCAGTTCAGGTTGCCCTGCTATAGGAAGGATAGTAATAAATTGGAGAGGGTTCAGAAAAGATTTACCAGGATGTTGCTAGGAACAGAGGTTTTGAATTATAAGGATAGATGGATAGGCTGGGACTTCTTTCACTGAAGTGTATGAGGTTGAGAGGTGACCTTGTAGAAGTTTATAAAATCATGAGGAGCGTAGATAGGATGAATAGCACCTAGGATCTTTTCCCTAGGGTGGGGAAGTTCAAAATTTGGGCCATATTTTTAAGGTTGAAAAGGGCAAGATAGGCAACATTTTTACACAGAGTGGGTTGTGTGTGGAATGAACTGTCAGAGAGAGTGGTGGACCTAGGTACAGTTACAATATTTAATAGACATTTGGATAAGTACATGTATAGGAAAGGTTTGGGGGGATATGGGCCGAATGCAGGCAAGTGGGACTAGTTTAGTTTGGGAACATGGTCAGTGTGGACTAGGTGGACGATAGGGTGTTTTTCCATGCTGTATGACTCTGTAACTCTACAGACTATTGTCAGTTGCAAAACATTTAATAATCCATATTTAAGAATATCATGAAAGGACAAAGATTGTGTTGACAAGCTAATGAACAGTAACTTCCACTAGTGGATCCCCCACATGCTCACTTAATGCTGGGTATAATTTCTATGGGAAGTTGTTGTAGGTGGGAGAGAAACAGTGCAGCAGCCTCATCAAGGCAAGAACACCTCCTTGACAATCAGGTTGCAGGACTGTTACTGAACAGCACAGCTGGTGAATTCAGTGTCAAATTTGGTACAGGAGTGGAGGGTATGAAAGATTGGATAGAACATAGAACATAGAACAGTACAGCGCAGGAACGGGCCCTTCAGCCCACGATGTTGTGCCAAACATGACACCAAATGAAATTAATCCCTTCTGCCAGCCCTTGGTCCATATCCCTCCACTCCTTGCATATTCATGTGCTTATCTAAAAGTCTCTTAAACACCCCTATCGTACCTGACTCCACCACAACCCCTGGCAACGTGTTCCAGACTCGTATGACTCTCTGTGTAAAAAACTTGCCCGTCACACCTCCTTTGAACTTCCCCCCTCTCACCTTAAATGCATGGCCCCACCCCTAGTATTGGACATTTCAACTCAGAATTGAAGAAGATGACAAGAGAAAATACAGAATAGAAAGGCAATAGCATTTTATAAATTAAAAATCTTCCTACCTTTCGATTACTTTTTAACATCTTAAATAAGTAAAACCTAAATTGAAACTCCACACATATCATAGTTAACTTGTAATGCCAGAGAGGCTGACTTTCAATAATTAGCACTTACCACATTGTTAAAAGGGTATGTTGACTTGAATTAACTATGTTCCATGGCAGGATTACCTGGCTGCAAATGAAGCAGCTTCACATGGTTAGTGAATTTCTGGTGAGGCAGTCAATCAGATGCCTTTTCTGCGAATCTGTCAGTGCAACAGGGGCAATTTCTGGATTTCTATATTTATTCACTCTTCCTGAAGTTGCTGTGATATTTGCACATAAATACCAGCAGTACCATTAGCTTCCATGTTATTTTGAAGGCATTTCTTGGAAAATAATTTAATGAGGAAAAGCATTTAAAGATAATGCAACAGTGAAATTTTATTTTTTTTTACAGCTGACTAAAAATTGTGTACAACTTTTCTCAATTTTGCATTCTTACCATTACAGTTCACCAAAAGAGGAGAGGAGTTTGCGAAACATGGCACAAGAGATCACTGATTTACAATCATCAGAACAACACAACCAGTTGGATTTCGGCTTCCTTGGAAATGATCAAGCTTGTGGATTAATCACAGATTTGAATAGGAGTAATTGTAGCAAAGTCTCTCAGTCACCCGAGGACGTGTCCCCCTGCATTACTAGATGTCCTCCAGAGATATGGCCCGATAGGCAGCTGAGTTTGAACAATGTTGGGACATTATGGGGAGAAGTGTCCCAGGACTCAGCAAGACAGATGCAGGAGACAAAAGAGTTTACAAGCAAGACCTGTTTGACCAGGGCAAAGTCGAATCCCTTTACAGCCATGAACCAGGATCTTGAACACCACACAGAATCGCTTCAAGTTAAGCAATACAACTTCTTTTCTTCTTTGGAAGATCTACTGAATGCCTCTTTCAGTGGCTCTTCCTCATCCAGATCAAACAGTTTACCACCAGCTGGAAAGACCTGGAACTCCTGTCACTGGGAATCTGCTCAGGAAGGGAATGCCAACATTCTTGAAGACCCAGAGGAGCAACACTGTATGCATTTTGCTTCCCCTGCTCACTTCCCATCCACTTATTTCACAGAAGATCCTTACTTCTCACCTCCCAACTCAGTGCAGCTCCAGGAGAATAGCCTTTCATGCCCGGATTCCCCCTGCCGTTACCTTGAAAATCTGATCCCAGTCCAGAGTCGGTATGACAACGATTACAGCGAGCTGCCACTATTCCCCAGATACATGGAATCGGCTCTGAGCCAGCCACTGGAGAAAGCAGAACATCATCACAGTGCTCTTGAAGTAAAGGAAAATCGTAAGTAGGAATTTCAACTCTACAAATAAAAATCATTAAAAGTAAAGCTGTTTGATTATCCAAAAACAACAACAAGTTGAGCAATGTCCTTAAGGATCTGCAATTCCTGCTTCCTCTGGCTTAATGCAATTGACTCTTACCTGTCCGCTGAAATAGACTAGAAAACCAACTGCTTATATCACAAGACCACTGGGGGAGCACCTTCGCCACACAGATCTCAGAGCCATCATCTGTGGGTAACGCTCTCTCATTTCTGAATCCAAAAGGTGTGGGTGGTGAGACGTGAACATATGATCCAGGTTGACACACCCAGTGCAGTGCTGAGGATGTGCTGCACTGCCAGAAATGCCACCTTAGTGATGAGATATCAAACCAAGATCCTCTCTGCTCTCTCCAGGGGACAAGAAAGAAAAATCTCACTCCACTATTTTAAAGAACAAGGGAGTTCATAGAATCCCTACAGTGTGGAAAGAGGCCATTCGGCCCATCGAGTCTGTGCCAACCCTCTGAAGAGCATCCCAAACAGAGCCAGCTCACCCACACCACCTAATCCTTGTAACCCTGCATTTCCCATGCCCAATCCAACTAGCCTGCTATATTTTAGGACTGTGGGAGGAAACTGGAGCACTGTGGGTGGAAACCCAAGCATACATGGGGAGAACGTGCAAACCCCTCACAGACGGTCATCTGAGGCTGGTATCGAACCCGGGTCCCTGGGACTGTGAGGCGACAGTGCTGAGCCAACACTCTCCCCACTATCTTGGCCACTATTGACCCCGCAGCTGGCAACAATGAAACAGCTGAATGTTATCACATTGCCTTTGCGGGACTTCCTTGTGTACAATTTCCTTGAGTGTCACTGGGTCAAAATCTTGAAATTCCCTCTCTAACAGCGTTGTGGGTCTACACCAAATGAACCACAGCCGTTTGAGAAGGCAACTCACCAGCACCTTCTGGAGGGTAACTAGGGATGGGCAATAAATGCTGACCCAGCCAGTGACACTCATCAGAGAATAAAAAAAAGCCTGCTACCACCTTTACTGCAGTGTTGCTGCAGAAACACCTTCCTTGGTTGTAACGTAATTGGGAGGTTTTGGGGTTGCAAAAGGCGCTATAGAAAGGCAAGTCTTTCCTTCAAGTCTGTCTGCTCAGGACAGCAGGTGACATCACCATTTTTTCCAAGTGGCAGTGAAGATGTGGAATAAATTGTGCCCTCAACCCCTCCGTCCCGAGAATAAATGAGAAAGAAATAAATGCATCTGCCATTTCTGGAACCCCGACTCCTAAATCTGCTTTCCCATTCTGTCAACACCTTTACACAGAACAGAGAGAAATAAATGAAAGGATGAAAGGAATCTGCATTGATATAGCAACTTCCACAAACTCAGGAGATTACAGGCTATAGGGTACTTTGTGATGTCACTGTTGTTGGAGCTGGTTACTTAATGAGGTGTAGTATGTGGTTCAAAATGTTGCCATCACTATGGGGTTGGATTCTCACTCCAGCTGAAGTGGCCTCAAGCCCTGTCTCCTCACGTTTAGCCAGAGTAAAATCATGGTGTGGATTAGCAACACGCAAATATGCTACTTGAAGCAGTAAGTAAAATTCCTGGTGTAATGTAGGAAATAACAATCCAATTTCAATCCTATCTTAAAGTCCTTTAGCGGGCCTGGAATGAATACTTAAAAACCATATCAATGATAGCTTTCATACCACATAGGAGCAGAAACAGCCCATTGAGCCTGCTCTGCCATTCATCCGTGCCTGATCTGATAATCCTCAACTCAACTTTCCTGCCTTTTCTCATGTCCCTTAATTCCCTTACTGACTAAAAATCTGTCTATCTCAACCTTAAACATACTTTATCATCCAATCTCAGCAGCTCTCTCTGATAAAGGATTCCACAGATTCACTACCTTCTCTGGGAAAAGAAGTTCCTTCTGACCTCTGTCTTAAAGATGCAACTTCTTATTCTGAGATTCTGACCTCTGGTCTCAGATTCTCCCACAAGGAGATACCACCCTTTCTGTATCTATCCTGTCAAGGCCTCTAGGAATCCTAGTCATAGAGTCATAGAGATATGTAGCACGGAAACAGACCCTTCAGTCCAACTCATCCATGCTGACCAGATATCCTAACTTAATCTAGTCTCATTTGTCAGCATTTGGCCCATATCCCTCTAAACCCTTCCTATTAATGTCAACTTGCATTTTTCTACATTCCAATGCCTGTAGGCTCAATCCACTCAACTTCAGCTGCCAAATTAAATGTTCACAGTCAGAGCGGAGAAGGCACATCACATCTTTTATGGGTAATGCACATATGTGAACTGATGAAATAGGTCCAGGATCATAAGACCCCTCAAGCCTGCTCCACTATTCCATGAGATCAAGGCTGATCTTCCATCTCAGTATTTTCCTGCGCAATGGGATATCCACACTCTGTAGCATAGGGCTTTCCAAAGATTCATGAACATCTAATTGAAAAAAGTTCTTCCAATTATCACTCCTTAATAATGAATCCCTTATCCTGAGACTGCATGCCTATGTTCTTAATACCCTAGCCAGGGGAAAATGCCTCTCGGTGATATTCTTCTCCACATTAGACAGTATAGGCCCAATTTAGTAATAGGAAAACCTCTTCGTCCCAGGAAGCAATCTAGTGATCCTCTGGCAAAAGGAGACCATATATATCCTTCCATAGATATGGAAACTAAACTCGCACAGAGATTCCAGATGTGCTCTCAGGAAAGTCTTGAACAACTGTAACAAGACTTCCTTATTCTTGAACTCCAATCACCTTAACAATAAAGTGCAAGAGGGTTTTAAAACCTCATTCACTATATCTCTGCTCCAACATCTTGTTTTGCTCTTGGGAATTATGGCTTAAGCCTGTCCATTTTCACAATTGATTTTCTTTGTTAGATGTCAATGACTGCACTTTGCAAAAATAATTTTTAAAAGTTCAGTAACTTGAGTCATTTATATATTATATGTTACTTTCTAAAAGCCAACTTTCCATCAGCACAAATTCACATCCTGGGGTCAGATAGAAAAATTGAAGTGCTGATTGATGAAAGTGAAGATTTTCAGTAAGTGCTACTGCATAAGAGCACAGGAACAGGAGGAGGCCAATCAGTCACAAACCTGTTCCATGCCTCCGTTAGATACCCATTTGATAGTCCAGAACTTGAGTATTGCAGAAACAAAACACATTATGTTTTGTATTTATTGTTTTGTAATTGCCCTGATGTGTATAAGACAAAAGACTTCATAGAAATATTACAAAAAGGGCAAGAGGAGGAATTTACATAGAAAGTCCAAAGAGAGAAGGGGCAGTGTTGGAGCTACCACTTTTGAGGAACGAACCTGGGCAAGTGGTAGACATGTCAGTGGGGGAACATTTCAGTAATAGTAACCATAATTCCCAAGTTTCAAAATAATCATGGAAAAATATAAAGATGGATGGGAAGTAAACATTCTGATAAGACAAGTTTTAGCCAAAATGGACTTGGAGCAGCTATTTATAGAAAAATCTACATCTGGGCAATGGAAACCTTCCAAAAGGGTAATAGAGAGAATGCAGGGCCAACATGTTCCTGTGAAGGTGAAGGGCAGGACGAGCAAGTCCAGGAGAACCCTGGATGTCAGGAATGTGCGAGATTGGATCAGGAACAAAATGGAAGCTTACAGCAGGTTCTGTAGGCTAAAAACACCAGGAGCTCTTGAGGCATATTGAAAGTGCAAGGCGTTGCTTAAAAAGAACAGGGGGCATAAAATAAACAATGACAGGTAAGAGAAGCATTTTCTAATCAACTTGTTCAGAGATGTTATCACACACCTCTGGAACGGGTGGGACATGAACCTGTGTCTCCTGACTCAGAGGTAGAGACAAAGGCCTTTTTAAAGAATTTTAGGGGTAAAAGGATAACCAGGGAAAGAGTAGGGCCCATTAGTGACACAGGTGGAAAATTGTGTGTAGAGCTGAAAGACATTGATGAAGTTCAAAATTAGTGTTTTACATCTCTATTCACTATAGTGAGGGACAGTTTGAGTATAGACGTCAGGGAGGAGGACTGTGATACACTTGAACAAAAGATATATCCCAGGTTGCTGGCGGAGGCAAAGCAGGTAATTGGAGGGTCCCTGACATTAGTTTTCAAATTTCAGAGTAGAGTATGGGAGTTCTTCCCATTCCTTGTTTTGCTTCCAGACTTGAGTATTCCAATCCATTCCTTGCCAACCAGCTACATTCTCCCACTGTAAACCTGGTACGACTCACAGTTCAGCTGCTCATATTCTGATGTATCGAGTCCCATTCACCAATCACACCTACACTCAGTGGCATAAACAAAGTCTTGAGACTTAAACATTCTCCTCCTTGTTTTCAATTTCCTCCACAGCTTCAACCTTCCCTGATTCTGCAATCTACCCCAGCCCTACAATCATCTGAGATCTCATTGCTCCTACATTTCTAAATACCTGGACACAGGTCACCATTGCCAGTCATGCACTGAGCTCCTGTGGCCTTCAACTCTGGAATATGTTTCATAGACCCTCTGCCTTTCCCTTCTACTTTAAAGACATTATTAAAAACATACTCATTTGACCAAGTATTTCATCACCTGTCCTAATACCGTTCAACATGGTTCAGTTTTAAATCTTCTTCACTGACATTTCTGTGAAGCATATGAGAGTTGCTAAGCTAAAGGTGCTAAGTAAATGCATGCTGTTGCTTTTGTTGTTGTCTTGTCTATGAGCATCATTTAACCAACAGCATTGTCTATGTACTTCTGTGTTTGACATAAATATACTAGTCACACAACATGGATTTGTAAAACAATATGTATGTTCTTTATTTGAAGACATGACTACATACAGTTAACTTGGAGACCACTGTACACACACCTGCTGCTGTAAGACTGAATACAAGTGGAGGTGGTAGTGAATAACAGCAGTTTAGAATATAGTGCCTTAAAGGAATGTCAGGAGAAAAGCATACAAATCACTGTCACCCTGCTGTTTTTAGATCTGCTATGTTTTCCCCATTACATAAGTGACTACATTTCAACAGTACATCATTGTCTGTAAAACACTTTAGAAAGCCCTGAAGCCATCAAACACAATACATAAATGAAGCCTTCTGTCGCTTCTGTATTTTTTCCTGATTCTTCACTATCAGTAACTGCAGACCTTTGTAAGTACTCTGTGCTGACACTACAATCTACATGCTCTTAACTGGGCACGAGTAAGTGGAGATTTGATCATTGAAGCAGGAGAGGCCCAGAACTGGCACTGCCCCTGAGCTGTGACCCAAAGAGTGATGCTCAAAATAGCTGGCCCTAAGTTTGGATTGCTCCATATGGTAACTGATAAAGCAACATTACACACCCTGAGCTCAAATGGTCAAAAAACATCTTAGGTATGATCTGATTGAATCCATGTCCTTTTTAGAGATTTATGGTAATTCTCCAAACCATGCACTTTAATTGGCTGTTGACTAAAATATAATTCCCCTTTCATTTTGGTTTCCTAGATTCCGATGAAGAAACTCCTCCTCCACTGCCAGAGAGAACTCCAGAATCCTACATGCTCCCAGACAATGCCGGTAAGTGGATCACTGATCTCTTGTGAGGACCCAGGTTGCAACTCAGAACGGAAGCAACTGTGAGGAATGTCCAGATTATGGGAGTCAGATTATGAGCTGGAAAGTTCCAGAATGATTGGTTAATGTGTTTCAGGAAATGGTGGCGTGGTGGGGTATCAGGGGAGAGAAGAATTAGGTTATTCACTTTGGGTCTAAGAACAGAAAAGCAGAATATTTCTTGAAAGGCACGAAACTCATACATATTGATGCTCAAAGAGATGTGGGTGTACTCCCTACAAGTACGGGAATAGTTAGTACACAGGTACAGCAGTGATATGGAAAGCAAATTGCTTGTCGTCCTTTATTGGAAAGGTGATTGGAAGACAAGAATAAAGAGGTCTTGCTACAATTGGGCAGGGCTTTTTTGAGGCGACACCTGAAATACGATGAGTAAACATGAATGTGTGAAAACATTCAGAGATCACAAGAACTGCAGATGCTGGAGTCAGAATCAATACAGTGTGGAGCTGGAGGAACACAGCAGGTCAGGCAGCTTCAGAGGAGCAGGAAAGTCAATGTTTCAGGTTTATACCCTTCATCAGGACATTTGTAAACCCGAAACATCGACTTTCCTGCTCTTCTAATGCTGCCTGACCTGCTTGTGTTCCTCCAGCTCCACACTGTGTTGATTGTGTGAAAACGTTAACAGGTCCACAGATAGCCCACATCTGTCAGACCATATAAATCCCCTTTATACTTTGAAACATTTCGCAGGTGAGAAAAAAATAATTTTGCAATTTCCATTGGCATTTCTTGACACAATCTGAGGGTTATCATTATGGTATTGTAATGACACCGGCTCATGTTATTCCCGGATGAATCAGATCCCAAATAAAACCTGGCTTGATTTTATTTACCAAGGTGAACTTGTACTGAAACACAAACACGCAATGCTGCAGCCTGGTTTTAGCAATTAAACAGAGGTTTATTCTGCAAAAGAAATGAAAAACAAAATTTTAAACTAAGCTTTTTAACAAATAACACAATTTGAAAGATTTTGAAACACAGAATAAAATATCCAATATCCCACCTATCCCAACACCATTACATTAATCACTCAAAACCAGAGAGAGTTTGTTTCTCTAATGCATGTATAGATTTTGGATTGCTGCCTTCAATTCCAGTTTCCCTGTTATAGGAAGGATGTTGTGAAACTTAAAGGGTTCAGAAAAGATTAACAAGAATGTTGCCAGGGTTGGGAGGTTTGAGCTATAGGAAGAGGCTGAATAGGCTGGAGCTATTTTCCCTGGAGTGTTGGAGGCTGTGGGGTGACCTTATCGAGGTTTATAAAATCAGGAGGGGCATGGATAGCGTGAATAGCCAAGGTCTTTTCCCCAGGATGAGGTAGTCCAAAACTATAGGACATAGGTTTAAGGTGAGTGGGGAAAGATATAAAAGGGACCTAAGGGGCAACTTTTTCACACAGACGGTGGTGCGTGTATGGAACGAGCTGCCAGAGGAAGTGGTAGAGGCTGGTACAATTACAACAGTTAAAAGGCATCAGGATGGGTACATTAATAGGAAGGGTTTGGAGGGATATGGGCCATATTCTGGCAAATGGGACTAGATTAATTTAAAATATCTGGTCAGCATGGACAAGTTGGGCTGAAGGGTTTATTTCTATGCTGTACAACTCTATGACTTTATGATTCTATTTATCTTAACTTCAAATTCCCAGTTTTGAAAGTTTGACAGCCTCTTCCTTCAGTAACACAATTGACCTTAGACTTTCTCAGCATCGAATGGCCCTTTCAGGGTTCTTACCAAGTATTTCTGGTGTGGGACTTTCAAACTAAAACCCTTGATTAATTGATTGATTTATTGTCACGTGTACTAAAATACATGAAAAGCTTTGTTTATGAGCAGTACAGGTAGATCACAGCAAGCAGAGGATGCACAGTTGAGGCTAGAGTCCATTCAAAAGTCTGATAACAGCCAGAAAGAAGCTGTTCCTGAACCTGCTGGTGCGTGTGTTCAGGTTTCTGTACCTTCTGCCTGACAGAAGAGGTTGTAGGAGATCATTACCGGGGTGCGATGGGTCTTTGATGATGTTGGCCACCTTTCCGCGGCAGCGAGCCGTGTAAATGGAGTCCATGGATGAAAGGTTGGCTTCCTGGGCTGTGCACACCACCTTCTGTAGTTTCTTATGGTCCTGGGCAGACCAGGTGCCATACCAAGCCGTTATGCACCTGGATAGTATGCTTTCCATGGTGCATCTGTAAAAGTTGGTAAGGGGCCTTATGAACATGCCAAATTTCCTAAGCCCCATTCAGAAGAAGAGGCATTGTTGTGCCTTCTTGACCATCGCATCTACATGCGAGGTCCAGGACAGGTTCCGAGGAGCAGGAAAGTCAATGTTTCAGGCCAAACCCCTTCATCAGGACCACTTCAGCCCGAAACATTGACTTTCCTGCTCCCCGGATACTGCCCGACCTGCTGTGCTTTTCCAGCTCCACATTTATTGACTCTAGCTTCCAGCATCTGCAGTCCTTACTACCTCCAGGACAAGTTGTCAGTTATTGTCACTTCTAGAAACATGATGCTCTCAACACTCGCAACATTTGCTCCGTTGATGTAAATGGGGTTGTGTTCTCCTCCTTTCTTTCTGACGTCAATGATCAGTTCTTTAGTTTTTCCAACATTGAGAGAGAGGTTGTTATCATTGCACCATGTCACCAAGCCCTCTATCTCTTTTCTTATTCTGACTCATTGTATCTGCCACAGATATTTCATGGCCCCCCTTTCAGTTTCCTTTATAAAGACCATCCCCTACACTCTCTGTACTTTTGAAGGTCCTCCCTTGTTTTTAATGCTGAATACCTGACATTGTTTCCCACTTTTGCTTTATCAAACTCTCACTTTCCCTTGACATCTAGGGTTCCCTGGACTTGCTGCCTCTGTCCTTCACTCTTAGAGGAACACACTGGCCCTGAATTCTCACTACACTACTTTTAAAAGTCTCCTACTTTCCAAATGTTGATTTACCTGCAAGTAGCTGCTCCCAGTCTATGTTAGCCAGATTCTGTCTCATGTTATTGAAATTGACCATCCCCTAATTTAGACAGTTAACCTCTGCATTATCCTTATCCCTTTCCATAGTGACTTTGAAACCTAAGAGTTATGGTCATTATCCCAAAATTGCTTGCCCACTGAAACTTCAACTGCTTGGCCAGCTTCATTCTCCAGGATTCAATCTAGCACTGCCCCATTTCTAGTCAAACTACCTATGTACTGGCACAAAAACTCTCCCAGATGCTGGATTAAAAATTCCACCCAGAAGAGGCAGTATCAATAAGGATTGTTTAAATAATAAACAAACTGGCAGCTGTGTTAGATACTCAGAACCTTATTTCATGTTGTTTTAGTTCCCGATGTTTGCCCATGGTGGCTATTGGGTGAGTTGGCATGCAGGATATAAATGCAAAGAATGGAGATTTATGGGTTAGCTCTAAGTTGGCATAGGGGCTCTAACAGGCCAATGAAGGTAAGTAGACAGTTAAGAGTTGGAATGGAGGGTATGAGTGGCCACGGTGATGGGTAAAGAGGCATAATTTGCCATAGAGTTTAGGAGGCGCCATGGGAGATGGGTGAGTGGCCAATGTCCTGCTTGGGATGGGGCAAGGGGACTGTGTGGTGTAAGTGGAGGGGTGGGGGTGATTTCGAGAGCACTGGTTTTTGTTGTGCTGCTGTCCTTACAACTGGGATGATATCGCAGAGCTTTTCAAACTCCTCTGCCTGTACATTGTTTGTGGAAGGGGAGTGTGCAGCCAGACTTCAGTAAATACCTTTCTCCCCTAGAACAAAAGTCCAATGGATCAGGGCAGTTTCTCCTGAGTCGGATTTGCAGGGGTGGATAATTTCCAAATGCTACTTTCCGGCTCAGGAATGAAAATTCAGGTGTTGATCTTCATGGAAGGATATGCTTGCATTAGAGGTGAAACAACAAAGATTCATTACATGGCTCTCTGGGATGTGAGGGTCATCAGAAGCAGAGTAAATCAGGGCTCTATTCTCTGGAGTTTAGAAAAATGAGAGAAAATCCTGGCGCTCCCTCCCTAAGGGCATTGTGGGTCAACCTACAGCATGGACTACAGCGGACCACCGTCTTCCCAAGGGCAACTAGAGATGGGCAATGACTGCTGGCCCAGCCAGCAATGCCCATTTCCCATGAATTAATCTTTTAAAAATCTCATTGGAATGTTCGGGATTCTGAAGAAGGTTGACAAGGTCGACACTGTGAGGTTGTCTCTACAGGCTGGGTAATCTACAAGCAGAAAGCATTGCCCACGGCGAGAGGCTGATCATTAGGACTGAGATAAGAAGATTTTTTTCGGTAAAAGGCAGGTGAATCTTTGGAATTCTCTAGAAGGCTAAGATACTCTGTTACTGAATACTTTGAAAACTGAAATAGACAGAGTTTTGGTGATTCAGGGAATCAAGGGATATGAAGAGTGGGTGGGAAAGTAAAGTTTAAAGATCAGTTCCTTGAAAGTGGCATCCAAGATAGACTGTGTGATGAAGAAGGCGTTTAGCATGCTTGCCTTCCTTAGTTAAAGCATTGAGTACAGGAATTGGGATATCATGTTGCAGTCGTACAAGACATTGGTGAGGCTACTTTTGGAATACTGCTTTCAATTCTGGTCACCTTGCGTTAGGAAAGATGTATTAAACTGAAAAGGGTACCGAAAAGATTTACCAAGATGTAACTGGGACTAGAATGTTTGAGATATAAGGAGAGACTGGATAGTGTGGTACTTTTCTCCCTAAACCATAAGAGGCTGAGGGGTGACCTTATAGAGGTTTATAAAATCATAAGGAGTATAGACAAGTTGAATGGCAAAAGTCTTTTTCCTAGGGTGAGTGATTTCAGAACTAAAGGGGATAGGTTTAAAGTGACAGGGGAAAGATTTATAAGGGACCTGAGGGCGCAAAGTTTTCATACAGAAGGTGGTTCGTATGCGGAATGAACTGCCAGAGGAAGCTAAAGCGAGTACAATTATAACATTTAAAAGACATTTGGACAGGTACATGAATAGGAAAGGTTTAGAGAAGTTTGGGCCAAGCACTGGCAAATGTGACTAGTTTAATTGGGGAAACTTGGTCAACATAGGTGAGCTGAACTGAAGAGTCTGTTTATGTGCTGTATGACTCTATGACTCCATGATTGTATTGAATAGCAGAGCAGACTTGATGGACCAAATAGCCTACTTCTTCTCTGAGTTATGATTTTCTTATTATTTTCTTCACAACTCATCCTATCAATGCTCAATAAACTACAATTCAGCCAAGCTTGCAGTTAATCACTTCATCACATTCGATTTAATTTGATTTACTATTGTCACATGTACTGAGATACAGTGAAAAGTGATGAAGGGTCTAGGTCTGAAACGTCAGCCTTTCTGCTCCTATGATGCTGCTTGGCCTGCTGTGTTCATCCAGCTCTGCACCTTGTTGTCTCGGATTCTCCAGCATCTGCAGTTCCTACTATCAGTGAAAAGTATTGTTTTGTATGCTATCCAGACAAATCCTACTTACATAAATACATCAGGGTAGTAGAACAGAATGCAGAATATAGTGGTACAGCTACAAAGAAGATGTAGGGAAAGATCAACTCTAATATATGAAACGTCCGTTCATAAATCTGATAACAGTGGGGAAGAAGCTATTCTTGAATCTGTTGGTATGTGTTTTCAAATATTTGTATCTTCTGCCTGATGGAAGAAGGTGGAAGTGAGTAAAACCAGGGCGGGAGGGGCCTTTGATTATGTTGGCTGCTTTCCCGACGCAGCGAGAAGTATGGACTGAGTCAGTGGAAGAAAGGCTGGTTTGTGTAATGGACATCAAACAAAGATGCTACTGCAGCACTGACACTGAGCAAAGTTAATCATTTCCTGATTTACTTTCCTCTGATACAGATCCAGTGCCAATTCCTTCAGCAACTCGGAAAATTGGATCATCTTCAGAATGGAGTGGATCTACACAGCCCAGGACCTTCGTGGAATCCAAAAACGTGAAGACACGGAGTAAGGTATTAGTCACAAGCTGCAAACTCCAAGTATCGGGGACATAAATGATGGAGCAACAGCAGACAGGTCGGCACCTTTGTAAATGGGGAAGAAGCTGAGACGGTCTGTGTTAGTTTCTAGTGGGTATAAAATGGAGGAAATCCCTGACGGATTTAATAGTGAGACATCCCGCATGGAATCTGTGAGAGCCCAGGTTATTTTAAGGCAACCAAGACAGGTGCCCAGACTGGGTTCTTGCTGCTGTTATCTGTAAATGGAGAGGCCAAGAACTAATCTTGTATTCTGTTTCTAACCCCATTCTGTCTCAATCATAGGAGTGTTTGATGGGGACAGTACGGAGGAAGCTTCACTCTGTGTCAAACCCCGTGCTGTCACTGTCTTGGGTGTATTTGATGGGGGCAGAGAAGAGGGAGCTTTACTCTGTATCTAACCCCGTGCTGTCCCTGTCCCAGGAGTTTTTGAAGAGGACACTGTAGAGGGAGATTTACTCTGTTTCTAACCCTGCACTGTACTCGTCCCAGGAGTGTTTGATGGGGACATTGTAGAGAGAGCTTTACTTTCAGGTTAAAAGAGTAAAGGGAGCTTTACTTTCAGTTTAATAGCTGAGGGTATTTTCTTCAGATATTTTCTTCCCAATTACATCCAAAGACAACTCCAACTTCAAAGCTCTGAATACCTGCATCCCTCCTGAACTAGGTCACACTCACTTATTAGCCTAGATTTAACTTGTTATCACAAAGTTACCCACTGTCTGTGTTCCCTCGCTTTATCAATCAGCTCCTCCATAGCCTTGGCCCTCTCTTCCCCTATACACTCCTGTTGTTTGTCTGTCACCTCCATCGCTCTGACACACATTGTTTAGAAATCCCTCCCCAAAAGTTCCTTCCAGCCTGCTTCTTCCCCAGCTTTTGCAAATGCTCCATTCTGCAGCTATCTTGTACTTTCACCGTACGTGACCTCTCCTAACCAGTCCGTCAGAGCAAGATAAATGTTGCTGCTTCTGGGAACTGCCATTCACTTCAGTGCATTGTCAGAAAATCAATTCAGTAAACTTTATGATACATTGCATTGTGTCTTTTTCAGAGTTTAAAGTTGAGAGCCTTTAGATTGGGTGAGTATTTCAAGCTGAACAGTTTAAAATTTAATTTTCATGTTGTAGGTAGTTAATCTATATAGATTTTCAGTTGCCTGTTACTTTATCCAATCTATGACAACTGTGTCTTTGTTGATAACTAATTAACAATTCCTGTAATTCCAGTAACTATTAACCAAGTACTTCCAGTAACTATTAAGCATGTCAAAAATTGTACTATCTATTAATCATGCCAGGAATGTAGTAACTGTTAACCGTAGTAACTACAGTTATATAGTCTTTATCCCACAACAGGAAGCCACACAATCCATTGCATCCAGGCTGGTAAACATGTAACTGTTTGAATTATAGGTTGGGATTTATGGGCCATCTTCCCACAGATCAGATTAGGAATAAAGATTTACTTCCACATGGGGTAGTAAAGTAATTTTTTTCTGAAGAAGGGTCCAGACCCGAAACGTCAGCTTTCCTGCTCCTCTGATGCTGCTTGGCCTGCTATGTTCATCCAGCTCCACACCTTGTTATCTACTTCCACATGGGTTTTTTTTTGTGCAGCTTCAACAACTCAGTCAAGTTTCTCTGAGTAGAGTGAGAGGAACAGTCACAGCACCTTCCAAACTCCACCATCTGGAAGGTCAAGGACAGTAGATGCATGAGAACACCACAATTGTAAGCTCCCTTCCAAGGCATGCTCCATCCTGACTTGGAAATATATTGCCATTCCTTCCTTGGGCCAAAATCCAGGAACTTACACCGTAACGGCATTGTGGTGTTCCTATCTCACATGGACTGCAGCAATTCATGACAGCAGCTCACCACCATCACCACCTCCACCTCAAGGGCAACTGGGGTTCGACAACAAATGGTAGACTTGTCAGAGATACCCACAACACAAAAATTAATTTTCAAACTATAATGTGGCACGATTGTTGTATTTCGGAAAATTTAAGCACATTTGTTGTCACGTGAAGTGGGAAGTTAATTGTCTTGAATCTTTTTAATGTCACTGTTCATTGCAGCTCTTTCCAGTATTCATTTTTAGATGATCAAATATTTTGGAGAGGAGGAATGGGGTGGATGATCAACTTGTGGAAGATCAACTAATGTCTGCAAGATCTGGTGTTTAAGTCATTATTTTTCTTTTGTTAATTATTAATAGACTTTTCTCTCTCGTTTAGAAAGAAAGTGTGACTCGTTATCGCTTCCAAATGCAATCAGTGAGTATTCTCCACCCTTCTGTGTATCTTCCCAACACCCTTAGATAAAAGTTAGCAGTGGTCATTCAGCATGTTTCAGACTATCTCCCTGTGTCATGGAATAATACCAAATGGATTAACCGAGGTGCTGGAAATGACAATGGCACAACCTGCCTATTCAACCCTGCCAAGTCTTCCTTACTAACATCTGGGAACTTGTGCCAAAATTGGGAGAGTTTCCTCCAGATCAGTCAAGCAAATGTCTGACACAGTCAAACTTATAGAATCATACCTTACAGATAATGTCCCAGTCTCTTCCATCACCATTCTTGGGTCTGTCCTGCCCCACTGGCAGGACAGACCCAACAGAAATGGCAGCTCAGTGGTGTACCATTGGAAAGGAGTTGCCATGGGAAGTCCACAACGCTGACTTGGGACCTAATGAAGTCCCATGGCATCATGCCAAAAATAGGCAAGGAAACCTCCTGCTGCTTATCATCTCTCCTAGTAATTTTTGAATCAGCAATCTTTCAAATTGAATACCTTTTGGAAGAGGCACCATAGGCAACAAGGACACAGCTTGTATTTTAGGTCAGGAACTTCAATGTACGTTACCAAGAGTAGCTTGAGTATGAGTGCTAATTGACCCAGTGGTGGGGAGGAGGGAAGGCACACTGATCACAAACACTGGTCATTCTTGTGTTACATATATGGGGAGAGGACACCAACTGAATTCACTCCTTTCTCCATGGACTTGCTGATAGGATATGAACTTAGTCACAGAATTCTCTTCACTGAAACTCACCAATTAATCCTGGTTCTCAGTAAATGACTATCTGCACCATAAGGAAATTAGAGAAATACACAGTGGGTAGTTTTGAATGGTTTTAATCAGTCAGATGCATACACTGTTGAAATCCGTATCTGGGTGACTCCTTGGTTACATGTCCTTGTGTATGGCATCTCCTATTGTGCGTCATGATCATTCCAGGTGAGTTTCATTTATGACTTCCTGCTTTCTTGCTTCTTAAGCATGACTGTCCCTTCATTTCACCTGCAGCCTTACCTCAATCTGGACCATCTTCATCACCTGAGACCGACAACTCTAGATCAGTAGCCGATTCCAACAAGCCCTTTGCAAGGACCAAGGTGAGAAACTTTGCCTGTCCCATGACCGTGTTTGATCTGTGTCTGTAGGCGATGCAGTACTGAGTTTACATAAATCAGTTACAGTACAGGATAATTAATTGACATTTTACTTTCTGCATCTTTTGTTGAGGTTTTACTTTCAAAGTAATTTGCGACAACAAGCAGAACTTGAGGAAATAGTTTTGGGGCAAAAACAGAAACTGCTGGAGAAACTCAACAGATCTGGCAGCATCTGTGGAGGGAAAGCTGGCCTTGTGCGATGCAAAAGTTACTTGCTACTTGTCAACCCAAACCTTGATATTGTCCAGGTCTTGCTGCATTTGAACATAAGAATACAAGAACATAAGAAGCAGCAATAAACCATTAAGCTTGCCCTACCACTCCTCATGGATGATTTGCACCAGGGCTCAACTCCTCTTTTACACCAGCTCCACATAGCCCTCACCTTCTCAATATTTCAAACATCTGTCGACCTCCTCTCTAAATACATTCAATGATGTAGCCTCCACAACTCTCCAGGGTAGAGAATTCCAAACGTTCACTAACCACTGAGAGAATTCCTTCACATCTCAGTTTTAAATGAGTGTCCCCTTATTCTGTAACTATGTCCCTAGTTTGAGATTCCCCCACTCGTGGAAATATCTTTTGAACATTTGCACTATCCAGTCACTTCAGAATCTTGTATGTTTCAATAAGATCACCCTTCATTCTTCTAAGCTCTAGTGAATTAAATCTGTGTGGCAATTCTCAATAAGTCTACTCATTTATCCCAGGAATCAGATGAAAGAACTGTCAGAATGGAAGTACGGCTCATTCCCAAAGGAAGCCTGATGGGAAGCTCATGTCAGAAACGAAAAGCTCTGTCACACCCTAAAAACGAATGGATGGAGTAGCAACTGCATGAGTCTGCCATTCATAAAATGCAGCCCAGTGTTTCAGGGCGAAGACCTTTCACCACAGCAGGAAGATGGAAAAGATTAGTTGGAGAGCAGCTAATCTCTGACATTGTTCTGTTTCTGATGAAGGCTGACCACCTGAGACGTTAACTTGATTTGGATAGCTCTTATTTATAGCTAGACGTTAACTCAGGTTAACATCCAATTATACATAACAGCTTTCCAAACTGATCCTTGCTTTCTCCGATAGTGCTGCCACTGTTTTTCTTCAAGTTTAATCTGAGACTGTTTTGAAAGTTATTCCTGAAGAGCTCCCGCCCTCTTTTCAGGCAAATCAGGTTCCCTGCATTTCATTCATTATTTCATTCATTCTATAAACTGAATGTGCAGAACCTTTCAGCTCCAGCAGGTGGCATCAGTTTTCGAGGAACATGTTCCAATCCCAGCAGTTGTAACTCAGAAACAGGAGGCGGCCGTTCAGCCCCTCAATTCTGCTCTGCACTTCAGGGAAATGTTTTTTTTTTACCTGCCTTTCCTCCATATCCTTTGCTAGATATCTTTAGGTCATTGAAACCTAATGACTTGACTGTAGAAAAATTCATCCTTTTAGACCATAAGACGTAAGAGCAGAAGTAGGCCAATCAGCCCATCGATTGTGCTCCACCATTCAATGAGAGCATAACTGATCTGATAATCTTCAACTCATTTTCCTGCCTTATTCCCATATTCCCTCACTGATTCAAAATTTGTTTATCTCAGTCTAGAATATATTTAATGACGCAGCCTCAATAGCCTTCTGTGATGAAGAATTCCACAGATTCACTCCCCTCCAAGAAAAAAATTTGTGCCCCATCTCTATCTTAAAATGCACCCTTTATTCTGAAGGTGATGCTGTCTGGTCCAAGACTCTCCCATTAAGGGGGCAACATTTCCACACTTACCCTGTCAAGTTCCCTAAGAATCTTGAAACAGAAACAGAAACAGAAACAATTGGAGAAACTCAGCAGGTCTGCCAGCATCTGTGGAGAGAAAGCAGAGTTAACATTATGGGTCCAGTGACCCTTCTTCAAAACATCCCTAAGAATTATGTATGTTGTAGACGTGCTCACCGAGCAGATGGGTTTGTTTGCAGATGTTTCGTCACCCTGCTAGGTAACATCATCAGTGCGCCTCCGGTGAAGCGTTGGTGTTTGTTCCCACTTGTTATTTATATGCCCCGGTTTGCTGGGGTGGTTGGCATTGCTTCCAGTTCTGTTTTTCAGTGGTTTGTATATCAGGTCCAGTTCAATGTGTTTGTAACAAATAAATAACACGTGGGACACCAGAGACACACTGATGCTATTACCTCACAGGGTGACAAAACATCTGCGACCAAACACACCGGCTCGGCGAGCAAGTCTACAACCTCATCCACAACCCCAGCTACAAATCTTCTCAAAAACTTTAATCTTGTATGTTTTAATAATTACTCCTCTCATTCTTTTAAATTCCAATAATTACAGGCTCAATTCACTCAATCTCTCCTCTAAGACAGTCGCTCCATATCCAGAATTAATCTAGTGAACCTTTTCTGGAATGCTTCCAATGACAATATATCCTTCCTTGGAGAGGGAGCCCAAAACTTTTCAGTTTTCCAGCTGTGCTCTGAAGAATGTCTTGTACAGTTTTAGCAAAACTTCCCCACTTTAAATTCCATTCCCTTTGAAATGAATTCCAAATTTCCACACTCTTTTGTGTTAACAAATGCTTCCAAACTTCATCGCTGAACAGCCCAGCTTGCCCAAAGCTTGTGACCCCTTCTTCAGACTTCTCTTAACCAAAGAAAACGGCTTCCTATTCTATCCACCCTATAAAACCCCTTTCTCGTTTTAAACACCTTGAGCAGATCACACCCCATAAATTACAATCACCGTCAATAATTAATCAAGTTCCCATGTTTAACTTTCCTAATAGCACTGTGGGTGCACTTGCAATTCAAGGCAGCAGCTTACCACTACATTCAAAAAGGGCAGTTAGGGATGGGCAACAAAGACTGGCCCTTGCAGGAGTGTTCACATCCCAAAGAAGAATTAAAAAACAGCTCTGCCAAACTGCACTCGTCAAACAGGCAAGCAAGTAAACCCCCTAAAAATGCACTGACATTGAGTACAAAGTCATTCTCAATTCTTGCGTTGGTGGAGGAGTCTAGCAGGTTACAGCTTGTTGTTTGCTTCCTGGATTAGTTCTTCTAGCTGCTGTTGGTAGGAACAATGATTGAATTGACAATAGATCTGGAGTAATTTGGAACATTACACCAGTTTTTCTAAAGAACCTCTTTATAATTATCTTCCTTTTTCTCTTTGTCTGTTTGCAGAGTTTGAAAATTCTCCGAAGTATGAAGAAGAGTAAGTGGAATTATTTTCATAGAATAAGTTATAAGGAACAGCATCATGGAACCACACAGCGAGGAGGCCATTCTATCCATCACAGCTGCGCCAGCTGTTAGAAAGCTGTCCAATCAGTGACCCTCTACTGCTCTTTTGCCATTGTCCTGCAAATGTTTTCCTTCTCCAGTATTTAACAAGGTCATAAAATGTCAACTGTGCAAGACAGCACAAACTGACAGAGCATCTGACATGCTCACTTGAGAAATATCACTGTAAATCTAAAGTCAGCATAATCTGATCCCACTCCATACTCTTCATTGCATTGTCCATTTTGCATTCAATCCTAATAGAAGCTTGTTGACTACATTGTCTGTGTGTGACCAATGTTAGCTGTTCATCTAGCAGGTGATTGTAAAGTTATCCTCAGTACAAACCGGTTTTTTTGTGGTGCCTCAGCCTCTACCTCTGAGACTGAAGGTTTAGGTTCAAATCCCACTGCATGAAACTCCAGACTAACACTTCCATCACAGGATTGAGGGTGTGCTTCACTGTCAGAAGTTCCTTCTTTCAGATGAAACAATAAACCAAGGCACCATCTGCCTGCTCAAGATCCCATGGCACTATTTGGAAAAGCGCAAGGGATTGCCCTCAGTTTCCTGGCTACAATTTGTCTATCAGCTGATGTTAATAAAACAGGTTATCTGGTCATTGTCCAAATGCTATTTGTAGGATCTTGTTGTGTGCAATTTTGCTGCAGGATTTCCTTTATTTCAACAGAGACTACACTTCAACAGTGCTTCATTGGCTGTAATTTTTTTTAACTTTCTCCTGAGGTGGTGAAAAGTTGAGCAGGTCTGTTATTGAGCCCGATTTGAGAAGGGTAATTATAGCACATTGAATGCATTTATTTTTCTTTGGAGGGAGGATGTTGGATTCACTGGCTTGGCCAGCACTTGTAACCCATCCCAAATTGCTGCTTGAACTCAGTAGCTTGCCAGGTCCTATTGAAGTACCAACTGCATTATTTCGGTTTGGAGTCACATGTAGGCCAGACCAGGTAAGGATGGCAGATTTCCTTCTCTAAAGGACATTAGTGAAGATTTTACAACAATAGATGCTAGTTTCATGGGAACCAAAACTGACACTGGCCTTATATTCTGGATTTATTCATTGAATTTAAATTCCACTGGGTACCTGGGTTTCTGGATCACTAGACCATAGTCTTGTGTTATTATCACTAGGCTATTAATCCAGTGACCCAGGTAATGTTCTGGGGACCTGGGATTGAATCCCAACATGGCAGATGGTGGAATTTGAATTCAATAAAAATCTGGAATTAAGAGTTTAATCTTGACTATGAATTCATTGCCAATTGTGGGGAAGAACCCATCTGGTTCACTAATGTCATTTAGGGAAGGAAATCTGCCATCCCTATCTGGTCTGGCCTACATGTGACTCCAGACCCACAGCAACGTGGTTGACTCTTAACTGACCTCTGGACAATAAATGACACCCAGTGATGCCCAAATTCTGTGAATGAATAAAACAAAAAGACCAGTGACATTACTACTGTGCCTCCATCTCCCCTCCATTAGTGCAAATGAGACTTCATACGATGTAGATAAACCAAATCTAGTGACAGTTTGTAAAGTATCAGCTTCTGTAGCTTAGTCTGAAAACAACTTGCAATGAGTTTCTTCCTAGACAGGTCTCACCATATTTCCACAGACCAGAACATTGAAGTTGCTTATTATTTAAATCAGGATTATCTAAATCCAGATTCACATTATTTCCAGGCACTGATTCCAAATAAAGGCAGATGCTGCCCATACAGTACTGAAGGAGTACTGCATTGTCAGAAGTGCCATCTTTCAGGTGAGACAAACCGAAGCCCCAACTGCAACAGAAAAGATCCCGTGGCTCTTAAGGAAGAGCAGGGGTTTCCTTCCAGACCTTGGCCGTTTGTCTCTGCCCATTGATGCTACCAGATGTGCTGCATTTTTCCAGAATTTTCCAGCTTTATTTCAGGGCGTTCTTCCCAATGTCCCATTATCCCTTAATCAACATCTGTAAAACAGATTACACCATCATTTTCGCTGTGCCATTTATGTGATCTTGCTGAGCAAAAACTGGCTGCTCTGTCATACGTTCAACATCTTATATTCCAACAATGCAACTGATAGGATATTTTTGGAAAAGTAGTCAAAGTGTTTTTGGTTATCCTCGAATCATCAGAGCTGGTATATAAATGCAATGTGGTTCCTTGAAGTATCAACCGCTAATTCATTTTTTTGTGAAGGAATTTATTTATCCGACTGCAAATAGGCAGCATATTTCATCAATCTTTTAATCAGAAATCTAAACTTACCAACAAAAACATTGCAACCAAACCATTGGAATGTGTGTTAATGCTTCTTTACATGTCTCCTCCCTCTATGACTACAGCCATAACCAGTGCTCCTGCACTGTCCAAGACTTCAGAGACTGAACCAAGCACAGAACACACTCGCTCATTTCTGAACTTTGGTGAGTTTATCAGAGTTTACAGAGGATGATATTTGGCACCCTTCACTCTAAGCAGATGGTCGTAGTGTTAGTTTATTACAACAATCGGCTGTAACAGCTGTGGTTCTGCATTCAACACTCTAATTATTATCATACAGTTGGGAACCATCTACCACCCTGCATAAACCATTCAATAAAATCATGACTAATCTGATTACTCCACATTCCTGTCTATCCCGATAAACTTGCACTTCCTTGCTTAATAAGAATCTATCTCCCTCTGCCTTCAAAATGTTCACGGACTCTGCTTCCACCATCTTTTCAGGGAGAGAGTTCCAAAGATTCACGACTCTGCAGGAGAAGAAGAATTACCTAACCTCTGTCTTAGATGGGCAATCCCTGATTTCTACGCAGTAACGCTGGTTTTAGATTCTTCCACAAGAGGAAACATCCTCTCCACATCTAACGTGTCAACAGCCTTCAGGATTTTATGTTTCAATTTGGTTGCCTCTTACTCTTTTGAACTCCAGGTAATACAACCCTAAGGGGTTGGTTAGCTCAGTTTGCCAGATAGCGGGTCTCTAATGTAAAGAGGTGCCAACAGCATGGGTTCAATTCCTGTGCTGGCTGACTGGACTCTTCTTCTCAACCTCTCCCCTTACCTGAGGCACAGTGACCCCCAAGTTAAATCACGTTTCTTTCAAATGACAAAAGACTATATGGTGACTTGACTTTATAATCCTAGCTTGTCCAACCTTTCCTCATAGAACAACCTGCTCATTCCAGGTATTATAGAGTAATACAGCACGGAAACAGACCCTTTGGTCCAAACAGACCACCCCGACCATGTTCCTAAACTAAACTAGTCCCACCTGCCTGCACTTGGCCCATATCCCTCCAAACCTGACCTATTCATGTACTTATCCCAATGTCTTTTAAACATTATAACTGTATCTGCACCCACCACTCTCTCTGGCTGTTCATTCCACACAAGAACCACTGTCTGTGTAAAAAAAAAAAATTGCCCCTCATTCCCTTTTAAGTATTTCTCCTCTCACTTTAAAAATATTTTAAAACTTAAAAAAATCTAATAAACCTTCTCTGAATTGCTTCCAACGCCTTTACAGCCTTCCTTAAATAAGGTGATCAATAATCTGCACAATACTCAAGATGCAGTCTCACCCTGTGCCCTGTATAATTGCAGCATAGCCTCCTACTTATGTATTCAATTGCCCCATAGTAACATAACATTCTATTAACGTTTTATCTTTGTAGATTTGCTTCCTCTTTATCTCATCACCTCCAACAGCCATATAACTGATCAAGAATCCTGGAAACCTCCAGCTCAGGCATTTTGTGCTTCTCCCATCCCTTGACTCAACCATTGTAACTTTAGAGGAGTAAAGGGCAACTTAATTGAAATATAGAAGATCCTTAGGGATTTTGACAGGAAAGAATATTTTCTAAGGTTTTGGAGTAGATTTGTAGCTTGGATTGTGGGTATTGAGGTTGGTTGGTTCGCCGAGCTGGTTTGTTGTTCCGCAGACGTTTCGTTACCGTGCTTGGTAACATCCTCAGTGCAGCCTCTGATGAAGCGTCGGTGTGTTTTCCCACCTGGCTTTTAAACTCTGGGGTCCGTTGCAATGAACTCGACCCCATATACATTCCACTACGGAGGAAACCCCGAAGTGAGGCACGGACCTCAGAGTTTAAAAGCCAGGCGGGAAAACACACCGACGCTTCATCAGAGGCTGCACTGAGGATGTTACCAAGCATGGTAACAAAACGTCTGCGGAACAACAAACCAGCTCGGCGAACCAACCAACCTCAAAAGAATATTTTGTCTTGCGGAAGAAACTGGAACTAGTTTTCACGGTTTAAAAATGTAGACACCCATTTAAGACAGAGATAGGCAGAAATTGTTTTCTCACAGTGGGTCATGAGTCATTGGAACACTTCCTTAAAAGATAGCAGCAACAGAATCTTTGAATACTTTTAAGGCACAATGGATAATTATCGATAAGTAATGGGGTGAGAGATTATTGGGTTAGGCAGGAACGTGAGGTAATCACATCAGCCCTGATCTTATCAAAAGGTGAAGCTGTAAATTCATATGTATTTTAAGATGTTCTTTAAAACCTGCCTTTTTTGTCCAAGGGTATGGTCACCTTTCATAACATCTCTGTGTGCAAATTTTGTTTCATAACATTCCTGTGAAGTGCCATGGGAATGCTTTATATTAATAAAAGTGTTACATAATAAGGTGCTGTTGGACTATATATCTACAAAAGATTGTTGAGTGTTGTGTTTCATAAACACAAATTGTGATTTCTAACTGTTCTCAAGTTCAAAGTCAATATTCACTTCTTATTCCTTGCCTTAAATAAAATGCAGAACCATGTTGTACAGTTACAGTCATAGGTTAAAGAAACAATTCTTCCCTTAATCATTTTGGGGAACTTGCTGTTGGATCTTTGCAGGTCCATTTCTGACTCTTGCTTATAGTCTGTGAGGCTAACTGGCTTAATTTTAGCTACATCACTGAGGAAGTCAAGCAAGAATTTCAAGAAAACAGAGAGCATGAATGCAAACAAACTCAGTTTCTCCAGCTGTCCTGATCATAGATTGAGTTTAGTTTTCCAACTGTTGGGCCATGTCTGGGATTCCAATATCAAAAGTCTCTGTACCACAATATTACTAGATCTTCCAATGCATAGCAGGCAATTGATTCTCGGTACCAACTTACTTTGTGTATTAGTGTAAACAGTCCAATTTCTGAGGCAAAGTCTTTAGGCCAAGTCACAGGGTTGACTTTTGCACATGCAATATTTTTAAGAGGTCCATATGCATGTTTGATTTGGGTCCTGCGACAATTCCAACACCTTAACAAACTGTATTAATAAACTGTTAGTAATTAATAATCACCACATTGTTAGTCATTCAAAAATCTGTGATGTGGAGGTGCTGGTGTTGGACTGAGGTGGATAAAGTCAAAAACCACACAACACCAGGTTATAGTCCAACAGGTTTATTTGAAATCACAAGGTTTCGGAGTATAACCCCTTTGTCAGGTGCAGTGAGAGGAGAGCCCACAGACACAGAATTTATAGGCAGAGGGATGAAGGGCGGAGAGATCAAAGGATCATACAACTGCTGTGAGTGAACAAACCTAAAATGGCTGACTGACTGCCTCCTGTTGAATCTTTAATTATTCACACATCCCTGCATTTTAGAAATTGCAGAAGCAGGCTATAGAGAACTCTGCTAGAAAAGAGACACAAATTTCGATTGATTAAGATGCAAATTCCAGAATCTGTTTCAAGTCACTGCCCTGAGATAATTAAAGGTTTCATCTGTGTCTGCCCAGATAGGCAGAGCGATAGGAATATACAAAAGGTGACATCTCAGATCAGACACTGAATTGTAGGTGTGAGGCCTCGTCCAGAATCTGTCTCAGAGTTTTAACCTGGAGTCAGGCTGGTTTTATTGTGAAAGCAGGAATTTATAAAATGTCGCACTGACTGACTGTGACTGCAAATTGTGTGTTTCTTCAACAAAATAGAATGTATCTGCAAATAAACAAACATCTTAGATGAAATGATTCACCTCATAGGTTTATGTGTGTGTGTGTGCGTGCATGCTTCAGAGAGACTGTGAGTGTGAGTGTGTATGTAAGAGAGGGTCTGTGTGAGTGTGTGTGTGTGTTTGTGTGAGAGACAGTGTGTATGTATGTGTGCGTGCGTGAAAGTGTGTGTGAGACAGAGAGTGTAATAAGTAATTCAAAACTGTACTGTTTGTTTATTTGCAGATACATTCTATTTTGTTGAAGAAACACACAATTTGCAGTCATGACATTTTATAAATTCCTGCTTTCACAATAAAACCAGCCTGATTCCAGGTTAAAACTCTGAGACAGATTCTGGACAAGGCTTCACACCTACAATTCAGTGTCTGATCTGAAATGTCACCTTTTGTATATTCTTCTCAATCTGCCTGAAGTTTGGAAAGTTAGGCAGACACTGATGAAACTTTTAATTATCTCGGGGTAGTGACTTGAAACAGATTCTGGAATTTGCATCTTAATCAATTGAAACTTGTGTCTCCTTTCTAACAGAGTTGTCCATATCCTGCTTCCGCAATTTCTAGAATGCAGGAATTGTGAGTGATTAAAGATTCAACAGGAGGCAGTCAGCCAGCCATTTTAGGTTTGTTCACTCACAGCAGTTGTATGATCCTTTGATCTCTCTGCCCTTTATCCCTCTGCCTATAAACTCTGTGTCTGTGGGCTCTCCTCTCACTGCACCTGACAAAGCAGAAGCGCTCCTAAAGCTTTTGATTTCAAATAAACCTGTTAAACTATAACCTGGGGTTGTGTGATTCTTTTTTTACTTTATTCAAAATCTGATCACTTTAATACTTTGAATAAATAACAAAAATTACATGTAGGAATGTTTTAAGCACTTAGTTACCAGTATTAAAATTCACCGTTTTTACATATTTACAATGAATTCAAATCATTAACATCTCCAGGGATATACAGAGATTCTGAAATGTAGGAATTGTGATCCTTGAAAAACTAGGGTCAACATTTACATGAGGCATATGTAAATTTATGTCATTTTAAGCCAAAACTCATTGGTTAGCTTTACATGAAATTGAATTTTACACAAATTTATACAGTGTTAATCAGTGAGAAAGTGAAACCCACTACTACAATTGAAACAGAATTCAGAGAAACACATGAGGGAGAATGGATAAGAAGTCTATGCTGATGGAGGGAGATGAAGTATGTTGGGAGGATGTTCATGTGAGGCAGAAAAAGCAGTTTAGAGCAGTTGAGCCAACACTTTCCTGTGAATATTTTGTAATGCTAAATTGTTAATCTATTATAGGATTTAAGAACCGCTTTGTGAAAACCAAAGGACCAAGAAATCCTCCTGAAGACTGGGTCTGAAACAGCGTCCTCTGAGAAATACTCACACGCCCTGAAACCAAATGGGACAATACTCATTTCTTGGGATCAGGCTCATTTTCTGATTTATTGGGTCTTCCAGGGGATGCATAATTGTTCTCAAAAAGGAAAGAAAAGGACTCTTCCTCCCCTTCAAACGGACTGAGTGAGATCATATTCTCTGAAATGGTGCATTTCCAAGCTTTGTTTCCCCACAGTTTCACACGTTGAATTCCCGAACAAAGAAGGATTCTGATTCTGTGCCTCATTCAGGAACAGTTTCAATAACTCAGGATCACAATCAGATCTATTTACATAGTTGAACCTTATAAACATGAACTGTTGCACCTTTTTAAAGATCTAAGGCCTCATTTGTGCTCCTCCTCTGTAGAAGCACTTGTGCATGATTAAGGAAATAATCAGTCACACACTGAAATCAGGATGGGTTTGTGCATGTGCATGTGTGTATGGCAAAAATGCGGTGAATGCCAGGCTTACAGTCGCAGATTTAATCCTTTCCTACTGACTGGCACTGTCTTTATCTACCATTTGTATATTTTCAATGGGTTTGGAGATGAATTTATAATGAATATATTTAAAATCCAAAGTTTTAGTGAAAGTTTGCTGTGATTTGTATTTTCTTTACAGTTTCTTTAAATCACAAACAGGAGCAATGCAGATCCAGAAACAACGTGGACAGGGTGTTTTTTTTTATTCGTTTCTGGGACGTTGGCATTATTGACGAGGCCAGTTTATTGTCCATCCCAAAATTGCCCTTAAGAAAGTGTTTCTGAGCTGCCTTCTTGAACTACAGCAGGCCATGTGGTGCAGAGGCAGCTGCAGTGATGTGAGGAAGTCCCAGTTTCTGACCCAGAGACAGCAATATATTTCTAAGTCAGGATGGCTCGTGTCTTGGAGGGTAACTTGCAGGGGGTGGTGTTCCTTTGTATCTGCCATCCTTGTCTCTCTAAGTGATAAAGGCTGTGGGTTTGGAAAGTACTGTTGAAGAACCCTTTGTGAGTTGCTGCAGTGTATCTTGTAAATGGAACACACACATACCATCATGCATCAGGGTAGAGGAAGTGCATATTTAAGGTGAAGAGGCTGCCAATCAAGCAGGCTGCTTTGCCCTGGATGATGTCAAGCTTCTTGAGTGTTGTTGGAGCTGCACTCATTTAGGTAAGTGGGGAGTATTCCATCACACTCCTGACTTGTGCCTTGTGGATGGTGGGAAGGCTTTGGGGAGTCAGGAGATGAGTTGTCTGCTGTGGGATTCTAGCCTCTGACCTGTTTCTATAGCTACAGTATTTATACGACTAGTCCAGTTCAGATTTGGACAATGGTAACCCCCCAAAAATATTGATAGTAGGAGATTCCGTGATGGTAATGCCATAAAATATCAAGGGACTATGGTTAAATTAACTGTCGTTGGAAATGGTCATTTCCAGGCAGTTGTGTGGTGCAAATGGTGGGGAAAGAGCATGAGCATGGTGAATCTAAAGGAATAGTGGGGTGTGAGGAGAGACATCAAGAGGTGGTTGCTGGCTGTAATCTAATTTCTGAAAAGTGACTTTATATTCCTAATCATCATAAGGATACAATCTCTGATTTTCACTTTTCCGATTTGGGACTATGCTCAAAGGACATGTTGGTGTCAAAATTCATTCAATGGATTTAAGATGGATACACAAACTCTTCAAATTAACTTATACAATGCTTGCTGGGTTTGATACGGCAGCAGATTCTCCAGTTGGAGATATAAATGGGTTATGTGGTCACTAGATGGAGCCAACATAGCATAAAAACTTTACTTCACAGAGTGTTGCAAGAACAAGGACATTGTTTGTTTGTTTTCCAAACCAATTAAACAGGCCTAGGCGCAGAAGTTATAAATGAATGTTTAATTCATAATTTTTTGTTGCTTTTTTATTCTAAACTCGAGAAAAATTGCTTTAAGTGAATGATTAGAGCACTGACAATAGCCATCACCTCCCACTCTCTCGACTTCCACACTGCCTCAAGATGAACAGACGGCGTATGCATCATCCAGCACAAGTTGAGAAAAAAAACCAACTCCAATTCAATACTGGGAAGAGTGAAGCCACTGTTTTCAGTCCTCTTTCCAAACTCTAATCCGTAGCTACAAACCCCATCCCTCTCCCGGGAGACAGACCAGGATTAAGCCAGTCTTGTCACAACCTTGGTGTTACATTTTGTCCCAAGACGAGCTTCCAACCTCATATACCCACATTCTACTCTTTGCAACCTTGAGACCATCCAAAACTCGTGTCTATACCTTCACACACACCAAGTCCTGTTTCCCGATCGCTTCTGTGCTCACTGACCTACAGTGGCTCTTGCCCAAGTAAACAAATGGCTTAGTTTTAAAATTCTCATTCATCTTTCCAAGTTTTTCCATGGCCTTACCCCTCCCTAATTCCATAATCTCTTCCAGCCCCACAACTCTCCGAGATATGTGCATTTCTCGAATTCTGAGTTCTTTTGCATTCCTAATCATAGCCACTCCATCATCAGTAGCCATGCCTGCCTAGGGGCCCAAGTTCTGGAATTCCCTCTCTAATCCTCTCTCTTCTGATTTAAGCTAATTAATAAAAGCTACACTTTGACCAGGTTTTTGGTCATCTGGTCTAGTATCTCCTTACATAGCGCGATGTCATACTTTGTTTCATAATACTCCTGTGAAGCATTTGGGGATGTTTCACTGTGTTAAAGGTGCTATACAAAAGTAATCTGTTGTTGTTGAAAAGACCTTAGAGTCATAGAAATATACAGCACAGAAACAGAGCCTTCAGTCCAACTTGTCCATGCTGACCAGATATTCTAAATAAATCTAGCCCCATTTGCCAGCCTTTGGCCTATATCCTTCTAAACCCTTCCTATTCATATACCCATCAGATACCTTTTAAATGTTGTAATTGTACCAGCTTCCACCACTTCCTCTGGCAACTCATTCCATATACACACCACCCTGTGTGAAAAAGTTGCCCCTTAGATCCTTTTTATATCTTTTCCCTCTCAGATTAAACCTATGCCCCTCTAGTTTTGGACTCCCCCACCACAGGAAAAAGACCTTGTCTATTTACACTATCCATGCCCCTCATGATTTTATAAACCTCTGTTAGGTCATTCCTCAGCCTCCGATGCTCCAGGGAAAATAGCCCCAGCCTATTCAGCCTCTCCCCATAGCTCAAACCCTCCAGCTCTGGCAACATCCTCGTAAATCTTTTCTGAACCATTTCTAGTTTCACAACATCCTTCTTATAGCAGGGAGACCAGGATTGCATGCAATACACCAAAAGTGGTCAAACCAATATCCTGTACTTGATTAAAAAATGAAAGAACTGTGGATGATGTAAATCAGCGTTCTGAGGAAGGGTCAGCGGACCCAAAACGTTAACTCTGTTTTTTCCTTCACAGATGCTGCCAGACCTGCTGAGCTTTTCCAGCAATTTCTGTCCTGTATTTGATTGGTCAATAAAGCTGACAGTGGGGCCAAAATAGGGTGAAAATGGATCGCCTGTGCTGAAAGCAGCCCATATCATGATAGGGTCTGGGGTATGGGGGTGGGTAGAGGACGTGGAATGAGGTACTCAGGCTCTAAAATTTCTGGTTGTCTTCTGTGTACCTGAGAGAAGGAATTCCCATGAGGATAGGCAGGGGGGATGACCATTGGAGAACATGTGACAAATCTGCCAGAAATATGTCTGACTGGAACTCCCTCCAATTGATGTCAGAGACCCGAGCTAGAGTAGAACATTTAGCAGTATGACTGATCTACCTCAAACTCATCTTCCTGCCACTATCCTATAATCCCCAAGAATCTATTTATTTCTGTCTCAAATATATTCATTGATTGAGCATTAACACTCTGGGATGTAAAATACTTGCTTCGTCAGTACGTATACTGAAATTGAGACAATACAGAGAAGATTAGCTTGGCCCCCGCACAAGGACAACACATAAATTTGTGAAGCACTACATATTTTAGGGCCCTCTTGTGGCACAGTGGTAATGGTCCTACTCCTGGAGCAAGAGGTCCGTGTTCAAACCCCACCTGCTCCAGAGGTGTGTATTAACATCTATAAACAGGTTAATTTGAAAATGCTAAAGGAAAAATAGGAAATGGTAAAGATTCATCATGCACCATTCACCACGAAGGAACATCTCAATCTCAGCAACAAATGGCCAAGCCCTTATTCTGAGACTGTGACCTAATGTTCTAGATCCTCCAGCATCCACCCTGTTAAGGCCCTTTAAAAAAATCAATCAGCCTCTAGCAGACTTCCATCACTCTGCAGGGACTGTTCTGTTAGTGAAAATATTAAGAGCACAGTAATCACTCCTTCAGCACAATACTCCAGTGCCGTACTGAGGGAATGTTACACTGAAGGAGGTACCTTCTTTCAGATAACATGTGAAACTTAGGCCCTATTTTCCCTATCAAGTGGGTGTAAAAAGATCCCAAAGCACTATTTCAAAGTTGAAGAGAGAGTTAATCCTGGTGTTTTTGTTAATATTTATCCCTCAATTGACATCACAGAAATAGATTATCTACTCATTAATACATTGCTATTTATGGGAATTGGCTATTGCATTGTCTACATTACAACAGCAACTACATGTAAAAAGTACTTCAATGGCTGTTGGTGTGATGTGAAAGGTGTAAAAAATGATAGTGCAAAATTCTTTAAAATGCAGAACTGTTACAGTGCAGATGTCCATTTGGTCCATTGTATAGATACCAGCTCTCCGACTGACGGTACTGCCATTCTCTCCGACTGACGGTGCTGCCATTCCATCACCTGTTTCCATTACCTCTGCACATTATTTCCACTTAAATAATCATCCAATGCTCTCTTAAACACCTCAACTGAACCTGCCTCCACCTCATTTTGTGTATTTCAGACTGCAACAACTCACTATGTGAAAATGTTTCTTTTGTAAATCACTTTAAAATATCAGTTTCTTATGTTCAGACTTTCTATTAGTTGCGTGTCTCTCTAAAAAGGGGAACTTCTGTACCATTTGAAGAGATGTGGATGCCAAAACGTATGCTAAAACTTCCAATATAGTGATAATGCAACTCAGAGGCGCTTGAAAATGCAAGAACAAAAGAGAACTCTAAAATGTAACTCTTAAAAAAATGCTAGTGAGCTTAAGACCTAGAGATGTCCATTAGAAAGCAAAGTAGAGGGCAGCAAAAAGAGGTTTGTCCTCAGAGGAGGTGGATGACAACATCAGACAGCGATAGTAGATGAACAACAGTGGATTATCACATTGTTAAACACATTCATAAAATATTGGTGGAAAACAGACACTAGTCTGTGATGCTGACGCAGCAGATGGTGCAAGACATATGAGTTTGACGTACTATGACAGCAGGATCTCCTGGCAGGCATAGCTACAAGCTCTCCTCCCTGAAACTGCCCGGGGTTTACAGGCGACTTGTTCCCACTTTAGTACGATGGGTCCCAAAATGACTGGTAAGTCCTGCAGACTCTGCTATATGCAGGGCAGGGTGATACTTGGGAGGGTTATTTGGGGGTTTGTGTGCTACCTCTGAAGCTTTGACTCGGCCTCTGCACGTTACCAATAGAAGCTTTCAATGTGCTTGGCACCTTCCCAACCAAACCTCCTCCATTCTAGTCGGCCAAAATGGCAGACCATTTCAGAGATGCTTTAGGTCTAAAGAGAAGCGGTTGCTTAACGATTTTGTCATTAGGCTAGCAATCCTGGGCCCAAGCTGCGAGAGATAGTGAAACGTGAATTCAAAAAAAGTACTTTGAGTTAAAAAGCTGACCATTAACCACATAATCACGGTCAATTGTTGTTAAAACCCCACGCAGTTCACTGATGTCGTTAAAGGAAGGAAATCTGCCATCCTTACCTGGTATAGCTTAAATATGACTCCAGACCCACCAGCAACTCTCAACAGAGCTAACGGATAATTACAGAAGGGCAATAACATTGAAATAAAGAAAAGAGCTCTCATGGCATAGTGGTACTATCCCTACCTCTAAGCCAGAATGTCCAGGTTAAGTCCCATCGACTCCACAGACATCATGACACATCTGAACAGATAGATTAAAAATATCTAGAAACAAGGTAAGTCAGAGCAGCAGTTGGCCATTTGCTGGTCATGCTGGCTCTGCCATTCAATATGATTATGATTGATTATCCAACTCAGTCCCCTGTTCCTGCTTTCTCCACATACCTTTTGATCCCTTTAGCCCCAATAAATGCCCATCCCATTAACAAATTTAAAAAATGAAGGCAGAAAGGATGATCTGGGACTCACAATCATACAGTACAGACAAAACCTTTCAGCCTATCGGGTCTGTACTGCTAAACATACATCAGTACCTACACTAGTAGGTTTGGTATGGCTGACTTTATTGGTCAGTGCATCGAATATAGGAGTTGGGAGGTCATGTTGCGGCTATACAGGACATTGGCTCGGCTACTTTTGGAGTATTGCTAACAATTCTAGTCTCCCTCCTACAGGAAGGATGTGAAACTTGAAAGGGTTCAGAAAAGATTTACAAGAATGTTGCCAGGGTTGGAGAGTTTGAGCTATAGGGAGAGCAGAATAGGCTGGGGCTATTTTCTCTGGAAGATTGGAGGTTGACGGGTGACCTTACAGAGGTATATAAAATCATGAGGGGCCTGGATAGGGTAAATAGGCAAGGTCTTTTCCCCAGGATGAGTGAGTCCAAAACTAGAGGGCACAGGTTTAAGGTGAGATGGGAAAGATATAAAAGGGACCTAAGGGGCAACTTTTTCACACAGAGGGTGGTGCGTATATGGAATGAGCTGCCAGGGGGAAGTGATGGAGGCTAGTACAATTATAACATTTAAAAGGCACCTGGATGGGTACATGAATAGGAAGGGTTTAGAGGGATATGGGCCAAATGCTGGCAAATGGGACTAGATTTACATAGGATATCTGGTTGGCCTGGTCAAGTTGGACCAAAGAGTCTGTTTCCATGTTGTATATCTCTATGACTCCAGTCCCACTTCCCTGCACTACATTTGTAGCTTTGAATGAATTGACGTTTCAATTTTTTTTTAAATCACTGGCCAGACCTGCATTTACTACCTATTCCTTGCTCGGGGCAGTTAAGAGTCAACCACACTGCGGTGAGTCTGGAGTCACATGTAGACAAGGATGGCAGTCTCTTTCCCTAAAGGACATTAGTGAACCTTAAGGGTTTTTCCGATAATGGTTTCATGATCATCAGTGGACTGCCAGTTTGAGATATTAGTGCAAGTATCACCATCTGCCATGGCAGGATTCAAACCCAGGTGCTCAGAAGATTACCAGGGTTCCTGGATTAATAGTCTGGAGAAAATACCACAAGGCCATTGCCTCCCCACGTGCTCAACCAAGTACTGTTTAAAAAGGTAAAACTTACCCTCACGGCAGTGCATTCCATGTTCCCACCACCTCTCTGGGAGTAAACACATTTTTCTCAAATCCCCACTCAACATCCTACTTTAAGTTTAAGATTGTGCCTCCTTGTTCTTGCCCTTTCGATTAAGGAGAAACAGATGTTTTCTATCCATCCTGTCCACGCTCCTCAATCTTACACACGTCTCATGCCCCCCTCGACCTTCTCTGTTCCAAAAAAAACCAACCCGAGTTTATCCAGCCTCTCATCATAGCTGAACTGCTCCATCCCAAACAATATCTGTGAATCTCCTCTGCAACCCTCTCCAGTGCAATCACATTCTTCCTATAGTGTAGTGACCAGAACAGCACACAGTACTCCAGCTGCAGCCTAACTAAGGTTCTCTACAGCTCCAACATAACCTATGTTCTGAGGAAGACTCCCTGAACCTGAAATGTTAACTCTGTTTCTCACTCAACAGATGTTGCCAGACCTGCTGAGTTTCTCCAGCAAATTTCTTTTACCCCTAGATTTCTGTCAAGTGCACCACCTCAGGCACAACACCCTCTCCAGTAAAATCACACTCCTCCTCTGGTGCAATGACCTGAACTGTAGATCCCTCATGGTCCCAATGGGTTCAGAGAAGGATCTCCAGCAGACATTCCAAGTTGGATCCAGACTGACTAACTCCTCTGCCTCACCCAAGATGGCGCCCTGCCGGTGCCGCCGTCCTTCAGACTCACCCAAGATGGCGGCCGGTCGGTCCCGCTGTGGCTCCCGTCCCCTTACCACCCGCACCGCGGGACGTCAATTCCGGCGGGCTGCCCCGCTTCCGGCAGCCGTGCGGCGGTGCACGCGCCACTCTGTCCGGCCGCCACTTCCGGTTCGCGATGGCGCAGCTCGGCCTGGTCCGCTTGAAGGCGCCGAGTAAAGAGCCGCGGGAGAGGGAGCCCGGCCCTGCCACCGGTCCCAGCATCAGCCCCGGGCCCGCCGCCAAGCGCCGCAAAACACAGCACCACGGCCTCAGCCTCCGGCCTCCTGCCAGCTCGGCCTCGGTGCTCCGTTACCCGGCCTCCCCCGCTGGCCTCTACTCGGTGCGGCCTCCTCCCACTCCCACTCCTCCTCCTCCTCCTCCCCCCTCTGCTGCTCCCGCAGCCTCCGGCGCGGCTGTCCCCGGGCCCGCCGCCTGTCCCTCCTCCGCCGCCACAGGCCTCCCCGCTCCCGTCCTCCCCAAGACCAAGGGCCCGAAGGAGAAGCACCCACGCCGGGACAAGGAGAAGAAGCACAGGCCGCGGAAGGAGAACAGCGACTGCCGGCCGCCGCCTCCCCCGCCCCCACAGGCCAAAGGTAACGAAGAAAGTGACGGGGGGCTAAGGGTCAGTGGCTGTAGGGTCAGTGCCTGGGGTAGGGTGAGGGGTTAAGTCCTAGGGGAGTGGGGAAGGTAGGGTTAGATTGTTGAGTGGGGAGGAAGACAGGGGTAGGGAGTTGAGGGAGGGTAGTTTGGGGTTTTAATGGGATGGCCCACACTTTCTTTGGCTGGGGGAACAAACAGGGACAATCCTCCTTTCTGGGGGAAGTTATCTTCATCACCCTTGTTTCCCCTTTCCAATACCTGTGCCCCGAGCTTCTTAAACCCTTGATGCAGGCTGTCAGTGGGTGCTATACTGAGGGAGAGCTGTCCTTTTGGAGGAATAGTGATATTTGTGGTACAGGGCAGTACTGTCCCCATGCATTCCCCCACCCCCCTCCCCCACAAAAAAAAGGGGGGTCTTCGAAGAGTATTGGGCATTAACACATAAATGAGTCTTGTCTGTGTGTGATAACACAGTGTGGAGCTGGATGAACACATGAGGCCAGGCAGCATCGGA